TAAGCAGAGATGAACTGCCCTAGTTCTTAATGGCTTGTTAGTCCTCATTCCAGTCTTCCACAGGGTGTGACTTGGCTTCCATAAAATAAACTCACGGTCCCGTGATCATTTTCCCTCTTTGCTTTAGCAAGAATCTTTAACTAAAACAGCTCTCCTTTCATTTCCACTGTCTACCACTCTAGTCTCAACTCTCACGAGTCTCAAATTTTGCAAAAGCCTGATAAACTTGTCACATGATTCTAGTGTCTACCAATTCCTTGTAAGTAACCAAGATATTCTTGCCTGATTAAATGCTTTGAAAATATCATCTTGGGCAGGGCGCAGTAGCTCACGCCTGTAAGCCCAGCATTTTGGGAGGCCGAGGCAGGCGGATCACTTGATATCATGAGTTTGAGACCAGCCTGGCCAATATGGTGGAACCCTGTTTCTACTAAAAATACAAAAATTAGCCGGGTGTGGTGGTGGGTGCCTGTAGTCCCAGCTACTCAGGAGGCTGAGGCAGGAGAATAGCTTGAACCCAGGAGGCGGAGGCTGCAGTGAGCCGAGATCACGCCACTGCACTCCAGCCTGGGCGACAGAGTGAGACTCCATCTCAAAAAAAAAAAAAAAAAAAGAAAGAAAATATCATCTTGTACTGGCCATCCCTTGTTTCATATTCATTAATAAACTTTGCTTTCTAATTTCGGTGAAGAACAAGCACAAGATTAAGGAGTAAGACTATGTGAAATTGGGTTATAAATTGAAAGGCTGTTGTATCTTGTAAACATACAATGCAATGCCAAGTGAAAATGAAGTTGTTAGTCCCTCTATCTAGAATTCTTTCCCAAATAGCTGCACATCTTTTTCCTCAGCTTCATTTAAATCTGTGTTCAACTGTTATCTCCTCAGAGAAGACATTCTGGATCATTTCATATTAAATAGTAACTTTTATTACTGTATCCCTTTATCCAGTTGTTTTTCTTTAAGGTACCTACCACTACCTGTCATGTTGTATACAGTTAAGTCCTTACTTAATGTCTTCAGTAGGTTCTTGCAAACTGTAACTCTAAGATAAACCACATAAAATGTAACCAAATTTACCACAGGCTAATTGATATAAACAAGAGTTAAGATCCTATGGCACATTTCTGGTCAAAAAAATATTACCAAACTTGCAAATACAGACCAAAACATTTCTAATGTTAAACACTGAAGTAAATGTGAGCTAGACAACATTTAAGAAAGATGAATAAAAACAAGATGATTTATCAAATTACAACAGTTCAGGGTTTTGGGTGGTTGGAGCCCATCCTGGCAGCTCAGGGTGCCAGGTGGGAACTGATACTGGACAGGACAGCCATCCCGTTGCACGGCGCACGCACTCACACACACACCACACTCGCTCAGACTGGGCAACAAGAGCAAAACTCCGTCTCAAAACAAACAAACAAACAAACGAAATAAATTATCCAGTCTCAGGTATTTCTTTTTTCTTTTTTGAGATGGAGTCTCCCCTGTCACCCAGGCTGGAGTGCAGTGGCATGATCTAGGCTCACTGCAATCTGTCTCCCAGGTTCAAGCGATTCTCCTGCCTCAGCCTCCTGAGTAGCTGGGATTACAGGCATGCATCACTACGCCCGGCTAATTTTTGTGTGTTTCTTTTTTTAGTAAGACAGGGTTTCACCATGTTGGCCAGGCTGGTCTCAAATCCCTGACCTCAGGTGATCCACTTGCCTTGGCCTCCCAAAGTGTTGGGATTACAGGTGTGAGCCACCGCGCCCAACCTCAGGTATTTCTCTATAGCAATGCAAGAATGGGCTAATACACTCCTGCAGACACAGGAAAAAGTGCAGACTCCACACAGACAATAGGCCTGGCCAGGAATCAATGTTTTGTTTCCCTCTCAACATTATAATGCAAATGATGTTGAAAAAAATGTTATTCAAGGACCTGCTGTATCCTAATTTGCTGTCAATTTCCAAACTCTAGAATATGAGCATTGGAACTTCAGCTGTTTTGTCTGTTTTTGTTATTTTGAGATGGAGTCTTGCTCTGTTGCCCAGGCTGGAGTACAGTGGCGTGATCTCAGCTCACTGTAACCTCTGCCTCCCGGGTTCAAGTGATTTTCCTGCCTCAGCCTCCCGAGTGGCTAAAACTACAGGCATGTGCCACCATGCCTGGCTAATTTTTGTATTTCTAATAGAGACGGGGTTTCTCCATGTTGGCCAGGCTGGTCTCGAACTCCTGACCTCAGGCAATCCACCCGCCTCAGCCTCCCAAAGTGCTGGGATGACAGGTGTGAGCCACTGTGCCCGGCCTAACTTAGGAGTTTTATTTACTGACACATCCCCTGCATACCTTATAATGCCTGGCACATGTTAAATGATGAATAAAACAATGTTATGCTTGGCTGAACTGAACTAAGAAAGATATTCATGCTTTCATTTTAGATCCAAGAATGTAAGATACTCTGTAAGAGAAGAAAAAATGATTATATAAAAACTGCACTGTGATAGAACAGTAACTTATGAAGTATGTGTGCTTGTGTGTCAAAACAAAAGTCATGGGAAAAAAGTCTTATAAGTACTTGTATTGAGCTAACCACCAAAGATGGCATTCAATTTGATCTGGGTCACTATAAATCAGAGTTTCCAGCATATAATATAGCCGTCATAGAAAAATTTCACTGGGGCCAGGCGCAGTGGCTCATGCCTGTAATCCCAGCACTTTGGGAGGCCAAGGCGGCCAGATCATGAGGTCAGGAGATCAAGACCATCCTGGCTAACACGGTGAATCCCTGTCTCTACTAAAAAATACAAAAAAAAAAAATATATATTAGCCAGGAGTTTTGGCAGGCGCCTGTAGTTCCAGCTGCAGAGGCTGAGTCAGGAGAATGGCGTGAACCCAGGAGGCGGAGCTTGCAGTGAGCCAAGATTGCACCACTGCACTCCAGCCTGGCAACAGAGTGAGACTCTGTCTCAAAAAAAAAAAAAAAAAAAAAAAACAAGAAAGAAAGAAAGAAAAAGAAAATCTTCATTGGAAAGTAAGGAAAACTACCAACATTTAAATGAAGACAAAAATATGACAAGTTCAGACATAAAGTGTAGGCTTTTGGTTTAAGCAGAAATGGGGTTCTTTTGGTGGTCTGCAGTTAGTAAGCTATATTTGTACTTTGTGTCACTACAGGTTTCTGGAGTTTGTTTAAGAACTACCTTCATTTTCCATATTAGGAGTTAGGAGTTCCTTTGAAAAAGAACAGAAAATTTAAGAAAAACATCAATTGCAATTTTGAAATTCTACCATTAAGGATGATATCTTAAAGTAAGCATTATGTCTCAGAAAACAGAAGTGAGAATAAAAACTTTTGTTACTGTGATTAGTCTATCAATTGTAGAAAGCAAATACATTTAATCTTTCATTTTCAATTAATCTTTAATATTTCAGAAAGTATATCAACATTGCCTAACATGCTGTTTTACACATAATAGATATATAATCAATGTTTATTGACTTAAAAATCTTTGGTTTAGCCAGCTAAATTTGTAATATTTTATGAACTAGTTTACTCTGAATCATGAATTCACCTATTTGTTGTTGTTGTTTTTTTTTTTTCTCAAGACGAGTCTTGCTCTGTCACCCAGGCTGGAGCACAATGGTGCAATCTCGGCTCACTGCAACCTCCGTCTCTCAGGCTCAAGTGATTTTCCTGCCTCAGCCTCCCGAGTAGCTAGGATTACAGGCACCCGCCACCATGCCCTGCTAATTTTGTATTTTTAGTAGAGATGGGGTTTTACCATGTTGGCCAGGTTGGTCTTGAATTCCTGACCTGAGGTAATCCACCCGCCTCGGCCTCCCAAAGTGTTGGAATTACAGGCATGAGCCACCGTGCCCGGCATTTTTTTTTTCTTTTTTTGAGATTGAGTTTCACTTTTTTTGCCCAGGCTGGAGTGCAGTGGTGTGATCTCAGCTCACTACAACCTCCGCCTCCCAGGTTCAAGAGATTCTCCTGCCTCAGCCTCCTGAGTAGGTGGGATTACAGGCACCTGCCACCACACCTAGCTAATTTTTGTATTTTTAGTAGAGACGGGGTTTCGCCATGTTGGCCATTGTGGTCTCGAACTCCTGACCTCAGGTGATCTACTCGCCTTGGCCTCCCAAAGTGTTGGGATTACAGGTGTGAGCCACCACGTCTGGCCAGATTTACCTACATTTTTGTGAGATTTAAAATTTTTTTAGAGATAGAGTCCTACTATGTTGCCCAGGCTGGAGTACAGTAGCTATTCACAGGTATGATTGTTGCACACTAAAGTGTTGAACTTCTGGGCTCTAGTGATCTTCCCACCTCAGCCTTCCAAGTAGCTGGGACTACAGGCACATACCACTGAATCTGGTGTATTTTTATAAGATTTTAAAAAGGATTACACATTCTAAATTATGACGTCCACATACCATTTACTTTTGTGTGGAATTATAAGGTGATATTTTAAATGATGGGAATGAACAACTTGACATGTGTATCAGTAACCTCTAAACATCTATTTCAAACACCTATTAACCGAAAGTCATGATCCTCCAGTTCTTATACTAAGAACTTCCATACATTAGAGCAATATACATATTCAAAGTGACCTAGTTCAATTTGACAAGTAAATTATTTATTTATTTATTTATTATTATTTTTTGAGACGAAGTTTTGCTCTTGTTGCCCAAGTTGGAGTGCAATGGCGTGATCTCCGCTCACTGCAACCTCCACCCCCTCGGTTCAAGGGATTCTCCTGCCTCAGCCTCCTGAGTAGCTGGGATTACAGGTGTGCGCCACCATACCCGGCTAATCTTTGCATTTTTAGTAGAGACGGGGTTTCACTGTGTTAGCCAGGATGGTCTCGATCTCCTGACCTCATGATCTGCCCGCCTCGGCCTCCCAAAGTACTGGGATTACAGGCATAAACTACCACGCCCGGCCAATAATTTTTCTATGTTTACGTAAATTTGAAAAATATACTTCATTACTACCACATTCATCCTAGTTAGAATCTCATATTTATTCCACTATGTTCATGATTTAGTAACTAGTTTGAAAGGCATCATATTATTCAAAGTGTATCAGATTAGCTCCCTCAACTCACTATATCTAGTAACCGTTCTGATGAAATAGGCACTGGCTTTGAATATGGCCTGTTCCAATTTGTGAATCATTGCAGGCAAGTAAAGTTGTTACGCAAAGAGGTGAGCCGTAGGATGATTGAGTGTAAACTATCACTATTGTATATAAAGAAGAAAAATAAGATGTAGGAAGAGATCTGTTAGAATAACATATATGACATATTCTAAGTTTTTCATATATTTCAGAATTATAGAAACAAAAGTATGTAATCTTTTCTAAGATATATAAATGACTTACTTTTAACAATAAATATTTTTTGATTTATAATGTAAATAAGATTAAACGAATATGGCTTACTCTTGAATTTAAAAAATGGCACGTGTAAATGAGCATTTTAGTACAAATAATTAGAATGTATTTATATTACATATAAATCTACACAATGGAAGATACTACTAAAATGTTGCTCTACAGCACATCACCCTAGGCAAAATAGAATTCTAGAATTCTCTTTAAAAAAATCACTGAGAATTAGATGATGACTGTGAAATAGCTTCTCCCATTACAATACTATTTCTGTCATTCAAAGTTCTGACCACAGTTGTAGCTGGCGACTGAAGCACTTTACGAGAAAGTCTCATTCTTCCATCGGCTGGATCACGTCCAAAGTATTTCACCTGTGTTAAAGAAACAGATCTTCCTTTAAAGTTACAGCACATTGAGTGACATCTAAATAGACATTTACATTTACATGGTCCAAATAAGGCAATGATTGTTTTCACTTGTTCACTGAAAGCATAGTTCAGTGCTAAGTGGAGGTATACACTTAATATATATAAGTAGTCATTATAAAAAAAGAAAAGACACGGGGCAGTTAGTTGTTCAACTATGATCTGTCACTGAATTCATCTGTGCCTTTTTATTCTCACCAGGCCAAGTCCTTATACTGGGGGAACAGTCACAGACATAGTGAATGATTCTAGACAAGGGCTTTGTGAGCCTAATTGTGTTATTATACTATACAGGATTATACTTAGGTCATTTTGATTTTCACTACTGCTCAAAGGACCGTCACATTAGTATTTATTTGGCTTCACCTTGGAAAATGAAAGCCAGGGGGGAATGCAGAAGGTTTAAAGTTCCTTCTGATATGAAAACAACAACAACAACAACAAAGAAACCAAAAAATCAACCTTATACAGAGATATTATATCTTAGCACTCATCCTCCCCTGGAGGCTACTTGGACAGTAAGACCACAGATTGGGAATAAACCAGAAGCCTCAGTTACTCAGGTCATAGGTATTAGGCATAAGTGAAAGAGAATGTAGTGGAGCCAGAAAAAACAGACTGGCAATGACTTCTTTCATCCACCCATAAAGGACGACAAAGAAAGGGCCAATTTTGTTATACGAATTCTAGGCCTGAATAACATGGCTCTTACCAAGCTCAAAAACTTGAAGTTTTAAGTAGTGGAGAAACAAAGTCTCACCTCCTCAAAGATGACATTCAAGGATTTCAACAAGTTATCTTATCAGAGTTCTTATGTCAGTCTCCAAATCATGGAGTCTGCACAGCTAACACTGACATGCTCATGTATTTTTTAAATGAACTAAGGGTGACTACCATTTTGGCCAAGCTGCAATCTCCTTCAGGGAAAGAATTGTGTCTTAAATCCTTAATGAGTCTGTTCAAGCAGCTCTAAGATTAAAAATGAAGTACTGCATATAAATAAAAAACATCATAGATGGTGACTCTTCTTTCAACTTTTTGCAAAAAATAATGGAAGCTTCAAGAACAATTTACAACTTTAAGGCTAAAAGGTGGAATACAAGTACCTGAATTTCTTGGCCAACTTCTAATCCTAGGGCAGTAGGATGTTTAATCTGGAAAAAAAAACCATGCCAATCTATTAGTTGTGCATAATTACGTAGTTCAACGGAGGTACACATTTTTTTCTCAAGCTTTATTCATTTTTCTGATTAAACAAATCAGTTAGCAGCCGGGTGTGGTGGCTCACGTCTGTAATCCCAGCACTTTGGGAGGCCGAGGCAGGCGGATCAGGAGGTCAGGGGATTGAGACCATACTGGTTAACACGGTGAAACTCCGTCTCTACTAAAAACACAAAAAAATTAGCCGGGCGTGGTGGCGGGCGCCTGTAGTCCCAACTACTCAGGAGGCTGAGGCAGGAGAATGGCCTGAACCCAGGAGGCAGAGCTTGCAGTGAACCGAGATTGCGCCACTGCACTCTAGCCTGGGTGACAAAGCAAGACTCCGTCTCAAAAAAAAAAAAAAAAAAAAAAAAAAAAATCAGTTAGCCAGGCATGGTGGCTCATGGCTGTAATCCCAGCACTTTGGGAGGCTGGGGCGGGCAGATCACTTGAGCTCAGGAGTTTGAAACCAGTCTGACCAACATGGTGAAACCCTATCTCTACTAAAAATACAAAAACTAGCTGGGTGCGGTGGCACACACCTGTACTCCCAGCTACTCGGGAGGCTGAGGCAGGAGAATTGCCTGAATCTGGGAGGCAGAGGTTGCAGTGAGCTGAGATTGTGCCACTGCATTCCAGCCTGGGCAACAGAGTGAGACTCTGTCTTAAAAAAAAAAATCAGTTAATTATAAGGATTTAAAATATAGATGTATTAAGAACATAAAAATTATCCAAAACAGGCTGGGTACAGTGGCTCACACCTGTAGTCCTAGAACTTTGGGAGGCCGAGGTGGAAGGACTGCTTAAACCAGACTGGGCAACATGAAGAAACCCCATCTCTACAAAAAATCCAAAAAAATTAGCCGGGTGTAGTGGCTTGTGCCTAGGGTCCCAGCCCCTCCAGAGGCTAAGGTGGGAGAATCACTTGAGCCTGGGAGGCTGAGGCTGTAGTAAGCTGTGATCGTGCCACTATACTCTAGCCTGGGTGATAGAGCAAGACCCTGTCTCAAAAACCTCTCAAGTTGTAGATAACTACTGCTAACATTCCAATGAGTATCCCTTCAGATGTCTATTTAGTGTATGTGTAATGCATTTATAAAAATGGACCCGCTGTGCTTATTGTATATCTTAAGGACATCTTTTTTTTTTTTTCAGATGGAGTCTCGCTCTGTCATCCTGGCTGCAGTGCCGTGGCATGATCTCTGCTCACTGCAACCTCCTCCTCCCAGGTTCAAGAGTTTCTCCTGCCTCAGCCTCCCAAGTAGCTGGGATTACAGGTGCACGCCACCATGCCCAGCTAATTTTTTGTATGTTTAGTAGAGATGGGGGTTTGCCATGTTGGTCAGGCTGGTCTCAAACTCCTGACCTAAAGTGATCTGTCCACCTCAGCCTCCCAAAGTGCTGGGCTTACAGGCGTGAGCCACTGCGCCCGGCCCAAAAGCATCTTTTCATATCAGTAAACTAAGCATTACTGTTAAGTTTCAAACTATATAGTTTATTTAAACAATCACCTAAAGACAATAATTTGTTTTAAATTCCAGTGTTGCAAATGTTAATGACTGATGAATATAGGAGAAATATATGAGGGTTTAGTGTATTATTCTTTCAACTTTTTTGTACATTAAAAACTTTTCAAAATAAAAAGGTGAAAAAAAAAAATAAGCTGTAGTGTAGCACAGATCATGGATTCACCTACTCTAATTATCCTCTCCAAACAAAATCCTACAATGTCTAGGTCCATAGACATTTACCAAACACCTTCTAAAAAGTTTGTCCCAATTCACACCTCCATCAACAGTGTAAAAAAAGGCCATCTTTTCTCTTCTACACACTGAGAATTTTAAACTATCTGAAAGTTAAAACTGATATATTAATTTCGTTGGCATTTCAAAAATTGCTGTTGATATTAAACATCTTGGTTGGCTTTTTATAAAAATCATTTGTTCATGTTCTTATTTTTCTATTGATACTCATCATTCTTACTGATTTATAAAAGCCCTTTGTAAATTAAGCTTCTGTCCTATGTTATAAGCATTTTTCCTTTAGATTGCTGATTATCTCTTAACCTTATTGAAATTTTTGCCATATAATTAAAAAATTATGGGGTCAAATTTTATAAATTTATTTACTTTTTTGGCTTTGATATCATGTTGAGGAGTTCTCCAGTACTAATTTTATTAAAATACCCAATTTTCTTCTAGTAAATCCTCCTGCCCCAACAAGATTATCTTTTCCCACCACCTTTTTTAAAAGCACATTTAGCTCTTTGATCCAGACAGGATTTTGGTATAAAAATGAGTAGAGATCCTGTTTTAAGATAACCAGCTGTACCAATGTAATTTATTAAATAATCTTTATTCACTGACTATAATATAACTTCTAGCATATATTATAATCCCGTGTATATTATTTCTGGTCTTCGTTTTCTTGTTGAATGGATTACCTATTTCTGGGTGGGTAATATACTGTTTTACTGTCTATGGCTTTATAATAGACAAGAATATATATACTATAGTATATATAGTATATACTATAGTATATATACTATATACTATATACTATAGTATATATACTAAATATACTATATATTTTAATATATGGTACAACAGACCCCCCCCCCTTTTTTTTTTTTTTGAGACAGAGTCTCACTCTGTCGCCAGGCTAGAGTGCAGTGGCACAACCTCGGCTCACTGCATCCTCTGCCTCCTGGGTTCAAGCGATTCTCCTTCCTCAGCCTCCCGAGTAGTTGGGACTGCAGGTGCACGCCACCATGCCCAGCTAATTTTTGTATTTTTAGTAGAGACTGGGTTTCACCATGTTGGTCAGGATGGTCGCCATCTCTTGACCTTGTGATCCACCCACCTTGGCCTTCAAAGTGCTGGGATTACAGGCGTGAGCCACCACACCTGGCCAACAGACACTCTTATTACTCCCCTGATCCCACTGTTTCCTAGAGTTGTCTTAGAGTTTTTATTTACTGGATGTATGAACTACAACAAAGATTACATTTCAAAATATTCCGAGAATTATCTAGTCATAATTGGTTGGTCAGTAGAAAATTGGGAAAACAGCTATACGTAGGTATTTTTAGTAACTGCTAGCTCTAGATGCTGTTCTCCTTCAAAACCGTCAGTGTTTATTTTCCATCATGGAAAGAAAAATATTTGGTGTTTATTTATTTATTTACTTATTTTATTTATTTCTTTTTTTTTTTGAGACGGAGTCTCGCTCTGTTGCCCAGGCTGGAGCGCAGTGGCACGATCTCCACTCACTGCAACCTCCGCCTCCCAGGTTCAAACAATTATCTGCCTCAGCCTCCCAAGTAGCTGGGATTACAGGTGCCCACCACCATGCCCAGCTGGGTTTTGTATTTTTAGTAGAGAAGGGGTTTCACCATCTTGGCCAGGCTGGTCTTGAACTCCTGACCTCGTGATCCACCCACCTCGGCCTCCCAAAGTGCTGGGATTACAGACGTGAGTCACTCTACCCAGCGAATTTTTATTTATGCTAAACAATGTAAAACTTTTTGCCAGCAGCATCTCTGCCACTTTTGTTTTCTCTGTTTAGGCTAGTAGTAGGCAAAGTGTATAATTCTTACCAACCTAGGTAATTTCAATACGGTATTTTAAGGTGTTTTAAGGAAGTCATAAAAATAGTAACATCTGTCTTTTTACCTTTCGTTGATCAAGTTGTGTGTTATGAAGCAGTACTGCAGTCATATTTGGATATAATTTTACCATTACACCAGTATCTCTACAAAAAATAAATAATAAGCCTGGTTAAACCAGTAAGTACCTGTATATCCATTGACAAATAAAACATTATGTTTTCATAAGAGGAAAAAGTAAAAAACAAAAAGAAACCCATTCTATCACGTTTTTAGAACTATAAAAAGTATACTTTTCAACTGAAAATATGCCCTATAAATAAATATGTGTGAATCAAAGAATGAAGAAAAGATAAAGAAAAAACACGCAATAAAAAAGCTTTTAGAGCCAGGCACGGTGGCTCACACCTGTAATCCCAGCACTTTGGGAGGCCAATGCGGGCAGATCACGAGGTCAGGAGATCAAAACCATCCTGGCCAACATGGTGAAACCCCCTCTCTACTAAAAATACAAAAATTAGCTGGGCGTGGTGGCGCATGCCTGTAATCCCAGCTACTCAGGAGGGTGAGGCAGGAGAACTGTTTGAACCTGAGCGGTGGAAGTTGCAGTGAGCTGAGATCGTGCCACTGTACTCCAGCGTGGTGACAAAGTGAGACTCTGTCTCAATAAAAAAAGCTTTTAGAATATATATTCTTCTGTATTTCTCTTCATAATTGCCAAAAACTTTTTTTTTTTTTTTGTCACCTAGGCTGGAGTGCAGTGGTGACATCTGGGCTCACTGCAACCTCTGCCTCCCAGGTTCAAGTCATTCTCATGCCTCAGCCTCCCAAGCAGCTGGAATTACAGGCATGTGCCACCATGACCAGCTAATTTATGTTTTTTTAGTAGAGATGGGGTTTCATGAAGTTGGCCAGGCTGGTCTTGATTTTCCAAAAATTTTCGAAATGACATTAAATATTTTAAACACAGTATAGAGTATCATATCATTAACCTATAAGATAAGGATATAAGGAAGGTGGTCAGGCAAAATGGGATACTTATTTCATTAAAAAATTAATCTTCCCTTTTTCTCTAGTCTATGAAAATAAGCCATCCCATTTCTTATTTTTCACCTGCAATATTAAACAAATTATCTCATTGCTTTTTATTTCAAATAGCTTTGAACATTTTTTGCTACATTTGATAATTTTTTTTCTTAAAAAAGGGATTTTCTGATCCTAAAAATACAATCTCTTTTAGCTGGTGAAAAAAAAAACCCTTTGAGATGGAAATCGGCTTTTTTTTTTTTTTTTGAGATGGAGTCTTGCTCTGTCGCCCAGGCTGGAGTGCAATGGTGTGATCTCATCTCCCTGCAACCTCCGCCTACTGGGTTCAAGCGATTCTTCTGCCTCAGCCTCCTGAGTAGCAGGGATTATAGGCATGCACCACCACGCCTGGCTAATTTTTGTAGTTTTAGTAGAAATGGGGTTTCACTATGTTGGTCAGGCTGGTCTCGAACCCCTGACTTTGTGATCTGCCTGCCTCGGCCTCCCAAAGTGCTGGGATTACAGACATGAGCCATGGTGTCTGGCTGAAACTGGCATTTAAAAATATGTGCCAATTAAGCATTCAGACTATGTTTAAAATAAGCCATCAAAAAAAAAAAAAAAAAGAAAAGAAAAAGGAAACAACGAAATATTGATAGGTCTATTTTGGGCCTATTTAATATTTATTGGGAAAATTAATTTGGGGTTTCACCAATTACTAGTAGAAAATTCGGTTAAAGAATTCAGTTAGGAGAACCTACCATAATTAGAACCACAGAACTGTTACTGAAATTTTATAAAATGATATAGAAAATAAAATATACTATACCTTAAAAAGTAATGATTATACGGCAATTGGCATGTAATCTAAACACCTTATGATTTCAAAGTAAATAAAGTAAATGTAAAATTAAATTGGGATTATAATAGAAATCTGTTAAAAACCAACACAGGGCTGGGCACGGTGACTCATGCCTGTAATCCTGGCACTTTGGGAGTCTGAGGCGGGAGGAGGGCTTGAGGCCAGGAGTTTAAGATCAACGTGGGCAACATAGTGAGACCATGTCTTTACAAAAAATTAAAAAATCAGCCACGTGTGGTGGTGTGTGCTTACAGTCCTAAATACTCAGGAGGCTGAGGTGGGAGAATTGCTTGATCCCAGAAGTTTAAGGCAGCTGTGAGGTACTATGGCACCATTGCATCCCACTGTGGGTGGCAGGGTGAGACCCTGGCTCTAAAGAAATAAAGGAAAAAGCTCAGCATAGTATATTACTTGATATTACCTGATTTCAGTTATTGTGGCGGTATACACTGCTCCAAATTCTAATTGCTGCTCCTGCTGTAAGTGCAAAATAAGCCATAAGATTCATAAAGAAAATATCAACAAAAAGTAGAAAAAACAAATATATCTATATGATATGTAATTAATATGATCTATACTTACATCATCCTTGCAGATTTCAGTAATGAAGTCTCTTGCCTCATGCATAGCACTGGGTGTTGGTGCAAATACAGAAAACGTTTCTTCATCCACCTGACTAATAGTTACACCTTTTAAAAACATAATTTAACATATTAAAGTTAACTTGGCTGGGCATGGTGGATCACATTTGTAATCCCAGCACTCTAGGGGGCTGAGGTGGGAGGATCACTTGAGCCCAGGTGTTCAAGGCCAGGGGAGAGCCTGTTACTACAAAGAAATAAATGAAAAAAATTAGCTGGACATGGTAGCATGTGCCCAACTACTTGGGAATTACAGTCGGAAGGATCACTTGAGCCCAGGGGTAAGGCTGGAGTGAGCAGTGATTGTGTATTGCACTCCAGTCTGGGTGACAGAGCAAGATTCCGTCTCAAAAAGAAAAAAAATGTTAACTTGCTAATTCCAGTGGAAACTAGTCTTAAAAATAGATGTGAGAACAGGAGGGACCTGTTAGTAGCTGGGTGGAGTTATGCCGTATTTAATAATTACTTTAGGAATGAAGGAATTCATTCATAAACAAATATACTCTGCATATGTGTTAGGTACCTGGCATTATACTAGGTAGGCCCTGGGGATACAATGGGGAGCCAATACGCTTGATTTCTTGAAGTTCACCATCTGGTGAAATCAAATATATCTATACAAATTTTGGAGAGTCTGGTTCTGCTCTCTTAATTACGAGTAGAAACAATAATAGAACCCTTTCCTCGCCTTTTTTTCTTTATCCTGCTTACTCTTAGGAGGGGTGAATAAACGAATAAGGGACAAAATCACATCAGTTTCTCAATGTTAGCAAATGGCTAAGGTGACGCTGCTTCTCACTCTCCTGCAATAACCTCAAACCTTGAAGTACTAGGTAATTCAAACATTGCTTCAGGAAAAATAAATTAAAGCATATTGTTTTTATATATACTCTTTAAATAAAAGAGTATAAATAAAACTAAGTGAAAGTAGCAGAATAAAAAGAAATAACTGTAATAATTCCTCTAAAGTTAAAAACTAAAAATTATTCTAGATGTTCAACTATAAAATGTTGCAAAAAAGTCCTGATGAATTCTTGGCTATCCTTCTTGAATACAGTTAAGAATGACCATTTGCTAATTTATTAATACTCAGTCAAGACATGTCATATCCTTTTCTCCTGGTCTTTCTCTCATTTGTCCAATAAATATATATTTAAAACAACATACTAGAGATGAAATAGCAAACTTAAATGGTCTAGCATTCATTAAAAAACCCCAAACTTCATACAACTCTTACCTGTTTCAGCCTGAAGTTTTTTTAAGTTATATCCACCTGGTCCAACAAATTTTGCTCGTTTTGATAATGGAACCTGAACAGTTTCTGGAATGTAATACAGACAAATATATAAACAATTCAACTACATACATGAACCTAAAACATGCCATGATCACTTGGGATTTTTTTTTTTTTTTACCTAGACACATGTAAAAATATTTTACTATAAAACAGAGAAGTAGACGATTAAAATTACTGAAAACTGTTAAAGAATATGCCCTAAAATTTAAAGCATTTTAACTATAAAAGCATTTAAAATATTTTTGTTTTGTGTATCGGGTAAAAACAATTTAAAAGTAGTAATATTCGTTCATATATTAATGTTTATCTTACAAGGATCACCAAAATTTTAATGTATTACCTACAACAGGTCCATTTTCTTTTCTAGATGCTCGAGGTTTTGAAATAGTTTTGTTCATGATCTGTAATATCTCCTTTTTTGCCACTAGAAGAGAAAAACACAAAAGTTATAACTACATAAAACAAATATGATCTGAAATAGCTGCACTCTTAGTTTTTACGGTATACCATCTAAACCCTGTGCCTTAATAATTGAAACTCTCCACATCCCTATTACCTTGAAAATTCACTCATATTCTCTTCTCCATAAATCCTATTTTAAAGACAGCTGCTTAATTTGTAAAAATTGAAATTCCACTGGTAACCCACTTTGGTGTTTATTCATGTGTTCCAAAAACTTAAGTTCTTCTTCTTTCTTTGAAATAGATATGGGATCTCACTATGTTGCCCAGGCTGGTTTTAAACTCCTGGGGCTCAAGCAATCTTCCTGCCTTGGCCTCCCAAAGTGCTAGGATGAGCCACCATGCCATGCCTGGCTACTTAGTATTTCTTTTTTTTGAGATAGTTTCCCTCTGTCACCCAGGCTGGAGTGCAATGGCATGATCTCAGCTCACTGTAACCTCTGCCTCCTGGGCTCAAGCGATTCTCCTGTCTCAGCCTCCTGAGTAGCTGGGATTACAGGTATGCGTCACCATGCCTGGCTAATTTTTGTACTTTTAGTAGAGACAGGGTTTCACCATGTTGGCCAGTCTGGTCTTGAACTCCTGACCTGAAGTGATCCGCCTACCTCGGCCTCTCAAACTGCTGGGATTACAGATGTGAGCCACTGCACCTGGCCAGTACTTCTTGATTTAAGTTTTATGAAATTCCACTTTTTAAAGCAATATTTTATAATAAGCCTAATGAGAATTGTAGTTCCCATTAGCAAAGTGGGAAAGAATGAAAGGAGAATCAAGCATACTAGCTCACCTGAAGCTTGTTGAATAGCCTCCATTACAATTTTTATTGGTATTCCAGGTAATTTAATATCAGCCTAATATGGAAAAGTCAAACAATTATATTAAACGTTGACTCATGGCATTATTTAAATGTTACAAAAATGAAACAAAATGGGTTTTAAAAATACCTGTAATGCAGTTATTCCTTTATTAGTGCCAGCTATTTTGAAGTCCATGTCACCATTGTAATCTTCAATTCCCTTCAGGAATTTAAAAAGTTGTGACATAGTTTTAAACAAAAACAAAAGTCAACATATTCACTATAGAAACATTTCAAAAAAACAGCTTTAGAAGTAAACCATATCCTAAGTCCAAACACAAAGCAATGTTTTCTACATTAACTACCGCTTCCAATTCGTGACTTTTTAAGTTACAATTATTTTCACCAGAAACATCATTTTATTTTTAGATCATTCCTTTCTCTCATAAATGTGTAAGAATGAATTTATGATCATCCTAAAGTGAGCCACTATGAATACTTACACTGTGTAAGTATTACTGCAATACTTAAGGGTAAGGATTACAATTTTTTTTAAGTAATCATTTTCTTTTATTTTATTTTGTTATATTTATTTTGAGACACAGCATGCTCTGTTGCCCAGGCTGGAGTGCAGTGGCACGATCTTGGCTTACTGCAACCTCTGCCTTCTGGGTTCAAACAATTCTGCCTCAGCCTGCCAAGTAGCTGGGATTACAGGTGTGTGCCACCCTGCCCGGGCTGATTTTTGTATTTTTAGTAGAGACGGAGTTTTGCCACATTAGCCAGACTGGTCTTGAACTCCCGACTTCCCAAAGTGCTGGGATTACAGGCATGAGTCACCATGCCTGGCCTATTACTATTAATATAATACCTATTTTAAATTCATATCCTCTAAGATACAAGGTGAACACGCAGAGGAAGGGAAGAACAAGTACCTGTTCTTCAAATACTAGCATTCTTCTGAGCATATGCTATGTGAAAAGTACATATAGTCTTCACCATTATAAGTACATATAGTCTACACCATTATTTGATTTGTTTTTATCTTTTAATTTTTATTTATTTATTTTTTAGTCTTCATTAAGTATTTGAAACCGGGAATATACTTGCCAGAATATCTGTCAGCAAACGATAATCTTCTATTTCACCCTTCTCAGGATCAGTTTTGGTGACCAATCCTATTGCTACGCCTGCGACAGCAGATGAAATTGGAACCCCTATAATTAGGAAAAAGAACTTCTGTGGCTAATGTGTACATGAGCTTAAAACATATATTTATCTATCAATTTTTTTTTTTTTTTCCCGAGAGGGAGTCTCGCTCTGTTGCCCAGACTGGAGTGCAGTGGCATGATCATGGCTCACTGCAGCCTCTGCCTCCCGGGTTCAAGCGATCCTCCCACCTCAGCCTCCCGAGTAGCTGGGATTACAGGCGCCCGCCAACATGCTTGCCTAATTTGCTTGTATTTTTAGTAGAGATGGGGTTTCAACCATGTTGGCCCTGTTGGTCTGGAACTCCTGACCTCAGGTGATCTGCCAGCCTCGGCTTCCCAAAGTGCTGGGATTACAAGTGTGAGCCACCACGCCCAGCAGACATTTATTTTATTTATTTATTTATTTATTTATTTATTTATTTATTTTTTGAGACAGAGTCTGGCTCTGTTGCCCAGGCTGGGGTGCAGTGGCGCCATCTCAGCTCAGTGCAAGCTCTGCCTCCCGGGTTCACGCCATTCTGCTGCCTCAGCCTCCTGAGTAGCTGGGACTACAGGCGCCCACCACCATGCCTGGCTAATTTTTTCGTATTTTTAGTAGAGACAGGGTTTCATCGTGTTAACCAGGATGGTCTCAATCTCCTGACCTTGTGATCCGCCCGCCTCGGCCTCCCAAAGTGCTGGGATTACAGACGTGAGCCTCTGTGCCCGGTCCAGACATTTATTTTTAATGTAAATGGATATTGTTATCTAAACTGACAATCACCGAAGCTGAGTTGGAAAAGTCTTAAGAGGTCATTTGACTACTTCATTTGTTTTTGAATATATAATAAAGTTCCCTAAAACAATGTAAACAAGTACTATATCCAGCAAAAACTTCTCTAACAATAGCAAACTTTATAACTTTTAAATTATCCATTGCTCTGCTTTTTGGCTTCAGGTGTCTTATTTTCTTTTTGTTGGAAAGTAAGCATCTATTTGGTAAATTCTTCCAGTTTGAACCCCTCAGTTTACTCCCCCTCCCATGGCAGCTAACATTAGTGTATCCTCCTAGAAAATTTCTGTACACAAGTATAAATGTAAATATTATCTTTTGTTTTCTTTACTCATGGTGGCAGACCCTATGCATTTACTGTTTTGCACCTTGCCTTTTTCACTTAATAACATGTCTTGGATAGTGACACATACCACCACACAAAGCTCTACTTTATTCCATTGAATAGTTGCATAGTACTCCCTATATGTTTTATAAGTCACACACAGAAGTGCGATTGCTGAGTCAAAAGGTATGTGCATTTACGTTTGTTACACTGTCAAACTGCCTTCTAAAGACATAGCATTTTAAACTTTTTCCAATGGTATAAGAAGGTACATGCTACTCTATATTCTTATTAATTCTTGTCAAATCTTTTGATTTTTCTCAATTTAAAGGGTAAAAAATGGTTATTTTAAATCTGACTCGTTTTCTATGACTGAGGTTGAAAACTATTTCATGTTCATAAACCTATTTATGTCTTATTTTGAGAACTGTTCATGACCTTCAACATTTTTCTACTTGGTTGCCAGTCTTTTTATTATTGATCTTTTTTCAATATGGACAGATCTTTATTAAAATGTAAAGATAAAATATTACGTTTAATAACATATAAATATAAAATATTTTATTTCCTAGTTAGTTGACTTTGCTTATGGTCATTAGTTTTCCGTGTAGAATTTTAATTTATGTAATCATGGTTCCTGGGTTTTGCTTAGCAGAGCTTTTCTTCTCCAAGATTTTGATAAAACCTACCATCTTTCATTTGTTTAAAAATGTTTAAGTTTTGATCACTTGGAATTTACTTTGGTGTAAAGGAGTGTGTATCTCATTTCATTTTATCTAAGCAACCTCATCTATACTTATGGTTTTAACCACCATCTATAATGTCGATGACTTAAAAATCTATCCCTTCTGTCCAGCTCTCTGTGCCAAACCCTGGACCTGTATTAGTAAACTGCTTGTCAGACATCTCCAGCTAAATGTACCCAAAGCACCTTAAATATATATTCAAAATTGAGCCAGGCCCAGTGGCTCACGCTTGTAATCTGAACGCTTTGGTAGGCCGAGATGGGAAGATCACTTGAACTCAGGAATTTGAGAACTTCCTGGGCAACATAGTGAGACCTCATTTCTATAAATAATAATAATAATAATAATAATAATAATAATACATAGTGAGACCTCATCTCTATAAATAATAATAATAATGATGATGATGATGATGAAAGAAATACATATCTGTTCAAAATTGAATCACTATCAAAAAATCGTTTACCTCCTGCATTCTTTGGTTTAAAGCAACTAAGACACTCACGCCAGAATCAACATTTCTTTCCTCATTTCCTATATCCCATCAAGTCACAAAGATCTGTTTAATTTTTTAGAAAGCTGTCCTTTACCCTAAATATTAAAATACCTATTGCTACTTTTTAGTCTGAGTCCATATCATTTCTTGACCTGGCAACAAGCTCCCTGTCTGGCTTCCCAGATTTTAGTTTCTCTCTTTACTTCTTAGTCTCTGCCATCTCATTCCCCAGGGCTATTCATCACTTAAGCTGGGAAAAACTATTTGGAAAAAACAAAAGCAGATTCAAATCATGCCACTGTTTTCCATAAAATCCTTCAAGTTTCTCACTGACTACTTTCAGGAAATGTTTGTACATATTCTGAGGTCAAATAAATTTGGAAAAATATTACATGTCCTATTCCTAGAGAGTCAGTATTAGAATTAGCTTATTAAAGTCTATTTAACCCACATTAAATAAACCTGCTTAAGCCTGCTGAAACTTACTTTAGAACAGGATAAACTTTTTCATGGTATACAATAATCAATGTCCTGTGGAACACTATTCCATGGAATACTGAATTGGAAAAATGCTGGCTTTAAGTTCAAACTCCTTAGCATAACAATGACCTTCAACATATGATTCTACTTTATTACCTTAACACCTCTTTCGAGGGCATTCCTGAAACACACTACACTGTTTCATAACTTCTTAACTTTGCACATGCTGGTCCCTTCATGTGAAATACAGGCCCTGCTCCTGATATGCCCAGTCAACAACTACTCAGCCTTTAAAATCAAATGAAATGTAGTAGTCTCTCTAAGCCAATTATGCTCAGCCTAGTTCATCAATCACCCTGTATGCCTCATACATATTTGTATTATTACCTCTTCGATCTATTAGTATCTTTTTGTTTGTTTTCAAACCTTTAAGCTTTTTCAAAACCTGGGTACAATTTGTATCCCCGGGCCCAGGGCATAGGACAGTGCCTGACTTAGAGCAGGGCAAGCCCTTTTCAAGCAATTCAAAATCATATTTGAATTGAACTGTATACCCTGTATTGGCCCATCCCACAGGACTTGACATTCATTCTTATCAAATTTAACTTTTTTGAGGTTTTTGGCTTTATCGCTTCACATTTAATTTTTAAACTATTAAGCTCTATATTTTTTTATCCTGCTCAATTTTGTCATTTAACAAATCAGTCACTCATTCCTTTTAATCAGTATCCTTTTTATTGGCAGGCCAGTGTTCTCAGTCAAGTCAACATTGAAAGAGACACGGCTGAAACAAGCATCCTCAAGTCTTCAACCTGAGATCCTCCTCTGACCTGCTGATCACATTAAGCAGTCCCTTTGCTCATCCCTTAGCCAGTATGAATGGTCCACCTATTATCTAGTCTAAATTTCTGCATCATTTACACAAGGTATCATAAAGATATCATAAACCATAAAGCTGAATTACAGATACATCACACCAACAGCAATACCCTCTACTGCAAATCCAGTAATTTCTTCAAAACAGAAAGTGAATTAAATAACTATGGCATGACTTGTTTTGGAGAAGTCTCTTCTGGCTTCTTTCTGTAGTCCGTTTCCTTTCTTTCTTTCTTTCTTTTTTTTTGAGACAGAGTCACTCTGTCACCCAGGTTGGAGTGCAGTGGCATCATCTCAGCTCACTGCACCCTCTGCCTCCTGGGTTCAAGTGATTCTCTTGACTCAGCCTCCCAAGTAGCTGGGATTATAGGCGTGGGCCACCACACCCAGCTAATTCTTGTATTTTTAGTAGAGACAGGGTTTCACTATGTTGGCCAGGTGGGCCTCAAACTCCTGACCTCAAGTGATCCACCCGCCTCAGGCTCCCAAAGTGCTGGGATTACAGGCATGAGCCACCGTGCCTGGCCCATTTCCTTTCTAAACTACTTACAAACCATTCTTTTTATAACTTAAGAGTCTTGTTGAGGGTCACAATCAAGTTCATTGTGTTATACTTTATAGAAAATACTTTTCTTCTCTTCCAATAATAACGTTTTCTGTCCTTGGGATACCAGTCTCCATGATTTCTCAATGCCTGCCATCATACTTCAGTAATCTAATCCTGAAGTTCTCATCATAATCGAGGATGAGTTTTTGTCTAGACCAAAAGATCTGAATTCATATAAAAATGGCAGGTAAAGACTCTCCTATGATGTCATCTTTTTTTTTTTTTTGAGACGGAGTCTCGCTCTGCCGCCCAGGCTGGAGTGCAGTGGCCGGATCTCAGCTCACTGCAAGCTCCGCCTCCCGGGTTCACGCCATTCTCCTGCCTCAGCCTCCCGAGTAGCTGGGACTACAGGCGCCCGCCACCGCGCCTGGCTAGTTTTTTGTATTTTTTAGTAGAGACGGGGTTTCACCGTGTTAGCCAGTATGGTCTCCATCTCCTGACCTCGTGATCCACCCGTCTCGGCCTCCCAAAGTGCTGGGATTACAGGCTTGAGCCACCGCGCCCGGCCTATGATGTCATCTTTTATTTTCAGTTTACCTTTTTCAAGATTTGTTCAGTGTTTTCCAATATGAGATTTGGAATGGAAACACAAGTGCCATGAAGACGAAGACTGTTTTGTTCATCACCATGTCCTAAGAACTTAGATCAGTGCTTGGCACATAGGTGCCACAAAGTAAAGATTTGTAGAGTGAAAGACTGAAGATGAAAAGAGTAGCAGCAGTATTTTACCAGCTACCTTAAACATCAGATTATGTTTTCCTTTATTGAATAAATTAGAAAAGTGCCTTTAGCATTTTTTGCTTTGGCCTGTTTTTAATTTTTCTAGATAATATTACTATATATTCACACCATGTTTTCATTTTATCCTCTGTTACGGCCCTCCTTTCTATCTTTCATGCCAGTACTGTAAATGTATGAACTTATCAGAGAACTCCTGTGGCCTCTTTAGTGTCTTTAGGTTCCTTCTCTTTCTTCTTGAATAGCAGCATTGACGACAGTTTGGCACGAACTGGTTTTAAGAATCTCCTAGCAGCCAGGCGCTGTGGCTCACGCCTGTAATCCCAGCACTTTGGGAGGGCAAGGTGGGTGGATCACGAGGTCAGGAGTTCGAGACCAGCCTGGCCAATATGGCGAAACCCCATCTCTACTAAAAATATGCAAATTAGCCAAGCGTGGTAGCACATGCCTGTAATCCCAGCTACTCAGAAGAATCACTTGAACCCAGGAGGCAGAGGTTGCAGTGAGCAAAGATTGCACCACTGCATTCCAGCCTGGGCAACAAAGCGAGACTCTGTCTCAGAAGGCAAAAAAAAAAAAACCTCCAAGCATAATGCGTTCCTTTTTGGCGTTTCAGACCTGGGGATTATAATGAACCATTTGTAGTCCGCCTTCCTAAAATTGTGTGTACATGCCTGAGTGGCATTGTTCTCTTGGCTTGTATAAATTGACTGAAAGAATACAGTTGCTTTCTCTTAAGTCCTAATAGTACTTACTAAGCAAAACTTCCTTGGTGATTGGAATCAATTCTGGAGCTACCTACCTTTTGGATGGAAATGAAGTTTACTAGGTCACCAATGCAAATAAAAATTTTTCAGTGTACTGCTTTTAGCTAAAAATAAGAATTCCAGCAGATATCTGGATATCTGAAGCTCTACTTTTCAACCATCTTGCTCTGGCTTGATTTGGTCATCTGTAATCTGACTTTGAGTTTTACTAAAACCCAAATTTAAAGAAATCTTATATTTTATACTAACAGGTGTGTATAAAAGGTTAGCATGTTTTTTTTTAATCTTTTTTGTAGAGATGGGGTCTTGCTATGTTGCCCAGGCTGGTCTTCAACTCCTGGCCTCAAGTGAGCCTCCTGCCTTGGCCTCCCAAAGTGTTGGGATTACAGGCATGAGCAATATCAGCAGTTCTGAGACATAATTCTTTTACCTGAATCCATTAATGCTAAACTTCCGCCACATGCAGATGCCATAGAAGATGACCCTATAGAAAAAAAAATACCTGCTTTATATTATACTGATTTTTTTAAATGTAGCAAAGTATTACTAGTGGTTATTTCCTTATAAATATTCCATTACAATACAAATATTCAATAGTCTCTTTTTTTTAAAAGCACCTAAGGCAAGTTCTTTTAAGCTATAAACTATGGGGCTGCATGATCCAATATGGTAGCCATTAGCCATAAGTGGTGACTTAAAGTTTAATCAATTAAAATAAATTTAATTCTTCAACTAGATAGCACAGAGAAAGAGGATTTCTATCATCACAAAAAGTTTTATTTTATTATTATTTTTTGAGATGGAGTCTCAGCTTGTCACCACACCCAGCTAATTTTTTGTATTTTTAGTAGAGACAGGGTTTCACCATGTTAGACCCTCGGAACCTTGTGATCCGCCCGCCTCGGCCTCCCACAGTGCTGGGATTACAGGTGTGAGCCACCACACCCAGCCCATCACATAAAGTTCTATTGCACAGTATTGCTACAGATATTCTAATAGACTTCCTAGGGCATATCTTTTTTCTTGCTTATCAGAAGTAGTTAAAGATATAGGGCTTTGGCTCTCTCACTTGCATAAGCCCATTAGTTTAGTCACACCCAGTAGAGAACCACAAAGTCTTTAGTTTAAATTCTGAGTTTACTTTGGTATTTTTCTCTCAAAATCTGTGACTATCTGATTTATGTCTGTTACACCTTTAAGAACTCCATGACCTTTCTGCCTTTAATGACTGCACCGTACCTTGACCCATGGACGAATTTTTTATTTAAATGTGACCTCTTGCCTAGACTCCCTCTGTGATGTCCAGTTATTATTCATGTGGATATGTGACAGGTATCCCCTGCCTAATGATCACTCTATTTTGGCCCTTCTCCTCTCTGATAACCTTGTTCTGTGGTTTGTTTGTAAAAATAAAGAAACAAGCCAAACTGGATCTACTGTAACAGATAAAGAAAAGCATTTGTTTTATATTGCTTTCAAAACAACTCATTAGCTAAGAACAGAGATTAAGACAAGTATATGATTAACTCAATACATTTTTCTCTTGCAATATACTTGGGTTCTGTAGTAATAAACAAAATGTAACACTACATTTGAAAACTTAATAATAGAATAGGGAATATGGTCTTTTCTACTATGAAAGAAGTATTTCAATACTGTACCATTTGACTCTAGGACTTCAGATGTAACTCTTATGGTGAAAGGAAAATCTTTGGGAATAACAGGATACAAAGCTTTCTCAGCAAGAGCACCTAAATTAGAATAGAAAACAGTAAGTAAAAAAATGTATTAAGTCTCTGTAAGAATACTGTATAAGTTTACAGATCTGTACTTACCATGCCCAAGTTCTCTTCTATTTAAACCAGTGACTTTGCCAATTTCATTAGTTGCATAAGGAGGAAACTTAAAAAAAACACACACACATATACAATTGACATAGAAAGATGTCCAAGTTATATTACCAAAATAATAGAACTTACAGAACAGTAGAATCTCATTTTTGTTTTTTAAAAAAGTACATTCATAAATATACAGAAAATGTACGATATAAATTTAACATACATACCAAATTGCTAAAAGTAGCTATTACAAGTATGTAAATGGATTAGGATGTGGGAACTGGAGGGGTATGGAGATTTACACCATAAACTTCCATTACATTTAAATTATTAACAATAACAAAATGTTATATTTTTGTAATAAGAAAAAATATGTACATATTTAAAAAGTACACATTGAAGAATCAGATTTTTTTACCCATAGCAAAGCCCACATTTATTTCACTAAATTGAAATTTAATTTACACTGATACTTTTTAGAGTTATCTCTCTCCATTACCTTTTTCAGATATGAAACAAAATACATGAATGGGAAAGTTGCATATTTTGAAGTATTTCTCAAGCAAAACGTAATGACAAAAATGTATGGAGGAAACAGCTCTTTTCTGTAAGAGTTTTATTTTAGACAGTGGTTGCAAACTGTTTTATTTGATGTATATGTTATCTTGAAGAAATATGAATTAGTTGTGATCATTTGACAATAGGAAGACTTCCGATAAAAATCTGTAGTTTCAGGTCGGGTGCAGTGGCTCATGCCTGTAATTCCAGCACTTTGGGAGGCCAAGGCAGGCAGCTCACTTGAGCTCAGGAGTTTGGGGCTAGCCTGGCCAACATGGTGAGACCCTCTATCTACTAAAAATACAAAAATTAGCCGGGCGTGGTGGCGCATGCCTGTACTCCCAGCTACTCAGGAGGCTGAGGCACAAGAATTGCTTGAACCCAGGAGGTAGAGGTTGCAGGGAGCCGACACTGCGCCACTGCCCTCCAGCCTGTGCAACAGAGACTCCGTTTAAATTAAAAAAAAAAAAAAAAAAATTTCCCCAAATATCTATAATTCCAGTTTAACAATAATTTTTTTTTTTTTTTTTTTTTTTTTTGAGACGGAGTTCTGCTCTTGTTGCCCAGGCTGGCGTGCAACGGTGCGATCTCAGCTCACTGCAACCTCTGCTTCCGGGTTCAAGCGATTCTCCTGCCTCAGTCTCCCAAGTAGCTGGGATTATAGGCATGCACCACCATGCCCGGCTAATTTTTTATTTCTAGTACAGACGGGGTTTCACCATGTTGGTCAGGCTGGTTTTGAACTCCCAACCTCAGGTGATCCGCCCGCCTCGGCCTCCCAAAGTGCTGGGATTATAGGCGTGAGCCACTGCTCTTAAAAGCAGTGGATGGAGCAGTAATCTGATTAAACCTCTGGATCTAGCAGTCAATTTGCAGGAAATAGAGAGGGCAGAGGAACACGTTGAATTGCACCACGAGTGAGCAATCAGCAACCCCCAATCTGGGAGACTGTAAGTCAAATGGTTATGGGGCTTCAACAGATAGACTGTAAGAAAAGAATGTAATGGAGGAGAAATGTATAGATTTAAAAAGACTTAAAGAAATATCAGGCCAGGCATGGTGGCTTATGTCTATAATCCCAGCTGAGGCAGGCAGACTGCTTGAGCCCAGGAGTTTGAGACCAGCCTGGGCAACATGGCAAAACCCCATTTTGCAAAAAATCTAAAAATTAGCGGGTTGTGTGGTGGTGCCTATAGTCCAGCTACTTAGGGGGCTGAGGCAGGAGGATCACTTAAGGCCGGGAGATGGAGGTTGCAGTGAGCCAAGATGGTGCCACTGTACTCCAGCCTGGGTGACACAGTGAGACTCCGTCTCAAACAAACTAAAACAGAAAAGGAAATATCAAACATTTTAAAGAAAAAAAACAAGACTAAACTATAGTATCTAGAAATGGAGCCAGGAAATCCAAGATGATTACTATAAAACTTGAGTAGTTACCTACTTTTAGGAGACGAAGGGTATTGAGATTGGGATGAAAAACATGGAGGGGCTTTTGAGGTGGCTGGAAATGTTAAATTTCCTGACTTGGATGGTGGTTACAAGGGTATTTGCCTTATAAAAACTTATTAAGCCATCCTTTGTTTCATACAGTTTTCAGCACCTATGCTTTATTTTATAATAAAGAGATTTAAAAAAATAAAATATGGCAATAATGGCCCATATCCTTCTCCAGCTCCCTCCCCAACCCCCTTACCTAATAATCAGCTAGACCTCCATTTTGCACAGCTGCCCTTTTAAGACTGCCACATGCTCTCCAGCTCATGACAAAAAACCTGCTTTACTCAATTACAATTCCTCTCTGGCTTCTGTAGCACCAGGGTATATCCAGAACGAGATATTTATAAGGGATTCAAGACCTGTATGAATCTCGATGTTTATGGGTATTCTGTAGCATATACTTTCTATGAAAAATGTTCTCTATTGATTACAGCAGAATCAGCAAAAGTGAAATGCTGGGATTCTGGGCAGCCACCAAGGGTTACACAAAAGCGAAATGACTTGCTACTTTACGTAAGTCTCTCATGTTGTATTCCTTTTATTTTTATTATCTGAGACAGGGTCTCACTCTGTTGCCCAGGCTGAAGTGGAGCGGGGTGATAATGGCTTGCTGCATTCTCAACCTCTTGGGCTCAAACAATCCTCCCATCTCAGCCTCCCGGGTAGCTGGGACTATAGGCAGATGCCACCATGCTTGGCTAATTTTTAGATTTTTTTGTAGAGACAGGATCTCACCATGTTGCCCAAGCTGGTCTTGAATTTCTGGGCTCAGCAATCCTCCATCCTCAGCCTCCCAAAGTGCTGGGATTACAGGTATGAGCTACCATGCCCTGCTCTCCATGTATATTCTTCAAATAATAAAATTAAAAGTACTTTATATTAGGTCTAGTCCCTTAGGATTTGTTGTGAATAAAGTCAATCACAAACTCAATTATCTAGAATCATCTCATATAAAGTAACTTAATATTAAATGTCTCATCTTTCACTACCAATCAACTGAGTATAAATATGAACATTTCAATGAGCGAATAAGGTGATTTGTCACTTGAGGTATTTAAAAAACTCTACTTTTGTTTGACACACATGTATACAGGCATGACTTTTTTTTTTTTTTTTTTACCTACAACGATATTGTCTGCTATACTTTCTTTAGATTTTATGCATGACTTAATGACTTAGAACAGGAAGTTGTTGATTAGAAAAGTACTATTTATCTCTCTAAAGTATTTATGTCTTATCTCTCTAAAGTAGTACTTTAGAGACTTTAGTACTTTAGTAGAGAGTGCTAAAGTACTCTCTAAAAATACATCTCTATTTATCATTCTACACAAAGCTTGCCATGCCTTCTATAAGCAATAAAATAGTAGCCCCAAACTGACCTTAATAGATATATGATAAAACTAGAAAACTAAAATATTATTGGTAAAACCCAGATAGTGGATATATGGATAGTCACTGTAAAGTTCTTTCAACTTTACTGTATCCTGGAAGTTTTTAAAAATAAAATGTTCCAGCCTGAGCAACATGGCAAAACCCCATCTCTAGAAAAAAATAGAAAAATTAGCCAATTGTGGTTGCACAAGCCTGTAATCCCAGCTACTTGGGATGCTGAGGCGGGAGGATGTCTTGAGCCTGGGAGGGAGAGGTTGCAGTGAGCTGAGACTGCACCATTCCACTCCAGCCTGGGCAACAGAGTGAGACCTTGTCTCATAAAAATTAATAAAATAAAATTTTGGGGAAAAAAATTCACCTTACCTCATAGTGCAGCATGAAATTTTTATCTTTTATCCCACTACAAATAAAAGGCATAATATTAAAAACATCATAGGGAAAAAACATATTTATTTCAAAACACAACTAAAACAGATTTAAGGGGATTTTACAAAACAACTAGGTGTTAATGAAAAATCAGACTGAAACTGAAAACCAAAGAATTAATTAGAAGGATGATTGTGACGTGATATTTTCTTCTGGGGCTCATGAATGAATTGTACAGATTTAGGAAACCAATTTTGCCTTAAATATAAGTCCTTAAATATCCAGATTTGAATACTAAGGCAAAACAATAGATGTATTTTTAAGCATTAATAACTACTGAAAGAATCCTAAATGCTATACTCACCTTAGTTAAATCTCAGAGCTACAATGCTTCTCCCAGTCAATATGTGAAATGAAGAAAAAGTCCTGGGATGGGGCAGAATCTGCATGATCATAAACTGTAGCTTTGGAGAAAGAAATCTAAAAACCAAACTCCTTCAGAGGACTAAAGGAATCACAGATTTTGGGAGCTAGAGAGGATTATAGCAGGTCATTGGCCCAGTTCATTTTATAAGAAATAGAAATCTGAGTGACCATGTGTGCCCCTTTATTTACACAGGTTATAGACCTAAGACTGGAATATATGGAGGTACCCTGACCAAGCCCAGTGTTCTGCATTCCACCTTCACACACACAGCTGCACTGTCGATCCTATCAGATACATGGAAAACAAGTACAGCGGCTATCCTGAAGATACTGGGAATTATCCCCATCAGTTGGGCAGCAGGCAAAGGGAGGCCAGGCCGTGTGGTCTTCTGAGACCCTTAACCAGGAACAGGAAGTAGCCCTACAATGCACTGAGGAAAATAAAGAACTGGCTATGAGTGTCAAGACTCTATGCAATAATGCTGGTGAGGACTGCAATACAGATTTTTTTTTTTTTTTGAGACAGAGTCTTGCTCTGTCGCCCAGGCTGGAGTGCAGTGGCGCGATCTCAGCTCACTGCAAGCTCCGCTTCCCGGGTTCATGCCATTCTCCTGCCTCAGCCTCCTGAGTAGCTGGGACTACAGGTGCCCACCATCACGCCCGGTTAATTTTTGCATTTTTAGTAGAGATGGGGTTTCACCGTGTTAGCTAGGATAGTCTCGATCTCCTGACCTCGTGATCCGCCCATCTCAGCCTCCCAAAGTGCTGGGATTACAGGCGTGAGCCACCTCGCCCAGCCTACAATACAGATTCTTATCATCAAAATTTATCAGCATGATTTTACTGTTGACTTTTTAGGGGTAGAAGAGGACAGCCAAGTATTTCTGAACACAAAATCACAACGGGATTCAACAAGGCTTTTCATTAACAAGGTTTTTCATTAACAGCCTCCAGATCATTTTCAGCAATGGGGGCTTTTGTGTATTTATTTGCTCTCTTGTTTCAAATAGAAAAACCAATCCATTCAAGATTACCAAGGAAGTCTGTCCTAAGAAATCATTCTAGAGACAGAGAACGAACTAAATGTACTCACATTAAAGAATTAAATGCTTTACTAACATTTGTTCCAAATCAGTAATTTAGAAGACAATCTAGCACATACACAAAATCCTTTGAAATCATGATGATGTAATCAGAAAAATGAATTACAAAAACACGGTTAGCAAAGTAACAATAATTAATAATATACCACGTAAGCTTTAATTATATACTAGGATATCATAAAACATAACAAACATCGTAAAAACATAACTTACTTTATAGCTGTTATAACTTGATCTGACTTAATACTGGATTCTAATGAATCAAATGTAACGGTACAAAGCACCTAAAAAAGAGAAAGAATTCCTCAGGCTTTAATATACTAACCACAAAGATGAAAACTAAAAATACTTGAAGAATCCAACTCACTCTTAAAAAAATGGGATAAGTACATCCTACACAAAGCTTGCCATGCTACTAAGTGCAGTATACACTTATTTGTTCTACAAATATTCATACTATGTGTAAACCTCAATAATCCAAAGTTCTAACATTGCACAGACTACATATGTAAAGCACTGCACAGACTACATATGTAAAGCACTGCAGTAGGAGTGCTGGGGAAAGAAGGCATGAAAAGAAAGCAATATTTTTAAGAACTATGTATGAGAGTACGCTAAGGAAGCCTCAATACAGGTTCAGCCAATACGACTGCCTGCTTAAAATTAAAAAAAAAAATCAGGCCAGGCATGGTGGCCCACACCTGTAACCCCAGCACTTTGGGAGGCTGAGGCGGGCGGATCACGAGGTCAGGAGTTCGAGATCAGCCTGGCCAATATGGTGAAACCCTGTCTCTACTAAAAATACAAAAATTAGCTGCGCATGGTGGCGTGTGTCTGTAGCCCTAGCTACTTGGGAGGCTGAGGCAGAAGAATAGCTTGAACCCGAGAGGCGGAGCTTGCAGTGAGCCGAGATTGCACCACTGTACTCCAGCCTGGGCAACAGAGCAAGTCTCCATCTCAGAAAAAGAAAAAAAAAATTAAGAAAATCAGTCTTCTTTGTAGAGACATAACATAATCCAGAGACTCTACAATGTATCATTCACAACATCCAGAAAACAACGTACAAGGAAACAGGGCCCATTCTCAAGAAATAAGAACAGGAATGGAGGCTGATTCTGAGTAGATGAAGATGGTGGATTAGCAGACAAAAGATTTTTTTTTTTTTTTTTGAGACACAGTCTTGCTCTGTTGCCCAGGCTGGAGTGCAGGGGCACGATCTTGCTCACTGCAACCTCCGCCTCCCGGGTTCAGACAATTCTTCTACCTCAGCCTCCTAAGTAGCTGGGACTAAAGGTGTGCGCCACCACACCCGGTTCATTTTTTGTATTTTTAGTAGAGATGGGGTTTCACTGTGTTAGCCAGGATGATCTCAATCTCCTGACCTCATGATCCACCGGCCTTGGCCTCCCAAAGTGCTGGGATTACAGGTGTGAGCCACCACGCCTGGCGACAAAAGATTTTTAACAGCTATTATAACTATACTCAAAGGACATAAAAAAAAAAAAAGTGGAAATTCTACAATTGAAAACTTTAATATCTCATAATGGAAAGGAGATAGCAAGAGTCAGTAAGCATGAAGATGAATGAACCAAAATTGTCTAATTTGCAGAAGAGAGGAAAGAGAATATAGTTGCAGTGACCTGTGGGACCGTATCAAAAGGATATGTGCAGCTGCAATTCCAGAAGGCAAGAGAGAAAATGAGCCAGGAAAAAATATTTGAAGAAATAATCAATGAAAATTCTCAAGTTTGGTGAAAGACATGAATGTACAGATTTAGGCTCAGGACACTTTTAGCAGGATAAATTCAAAGGAAATCATACCTTTCAATCATAATGTTGAAAACCAAAGATAAGGAGCAAATCTTGAAAGCACCCACATGAAAACAATAATAATATATAAGGAAGAATGATTTGAATGTGTCTTTTTCATCAGAAAAACATGGAGAACAAAAACCACTGAAACATATTTAGGTGCTAAAAGAAAAAAAGGCTCACCCCAGAATTCTATACACAGCAAAAAGATTCTTTGTACACAGAGGCAAAATAAAGACATTTCAGAAAAACAAAAGATAAGAATTTGTTAATAGAAAACTCATATGATGGGCTGGGCGCGGTGGCTCACACCTGTAATCCCCAGCACTTTGGGAGGCCGAGGCAGGCGGATCACGAGGTCAGGAGATCGAGACCATCCTGGCTAACACGGTGAAACCCAGTCTCTACTAAAAATACAAAAAAATTAGCCGGGCATGTTGGTGGCCAGCTGTAGTCCCAGCTACTCGGGAGACTGAGGCAGAAGAATGACGTGAACCCAGAAGGCAGAGCTTGCTGTGAGCCGAGGTCGCGCCACAGATCACCCCACTGCACTCCAGCCAGGGCAACAGAGCGAGACTCCATCTCAAAAAAAGAAAACTCACAGGATGATATTAAAGGAAGTCTTGTCAGAATGAAGGGAAATGATACTGGATCTACACTTGGATCTTCAGAAAGGAATAAAAAGCACCAGAAATGGTAAATATGTGGGCCAATATAAAAGCCTGTCTTTTTCTTATTACTTCTTTAAAAGACATGATTGTAGGAAAGTTGTAACACCGCCTTGTGGGGGTTTATGACACATACAGATGTAACTCATGAGACAACTGCAATATAAAGGATAGAAGAGGTGGGAAATGCACCTAAATGGTTTCAAAGTTTCTTCATTTTATATTAAGTGGTACAAAATTAATTCTAAAAAGACTGTGAGGGCCTGGCATGGTGGCTCACGCCTGTAATACCAGCACTTTGGGAGGCCAAGGCAGGAGGACTGGACTGCTGGAGCCCAGGAATTCAAGACTAGCCTGGGCAATATGGCGAAACCCTGTCTCTACAAAAATTTTCAAAAATATATAAATAAAAAGACCTGTGAGAAGTTATGAATGTATGCTGTAATTTCTACAGTAATCACTGGAAAATAATTCAGAGGTACAGCTAAAAAATAAATAGGCAAATTAAAATAAAATTCTAAAAAAATATTTAATTCATTCAAAAAGAAGGCTGAATGAAAGTAAAAAATAGAGAAACAAAAAACAGAAGGGCAAAAGAAAAATAATAAAATGACAGTAAATTCAATCACATCAATGCTTAAATTCAACATGAATGGACGAAGTACTACAGCTACAAAGCCAGAGATTGTCACAATGGATAGCAAAAGTATGCAGAACATCTTAATAAAGGCATTTTAAAAACTTGACTAAAGAGCATAAAACAAAACCTGAATCAAAGGTGACACACACTATATTCACTGTAAAGACTCTAACTTAAATTGTAAAAGTATCATTCTTCTCTCAGATTAATATAAAAATTTAGTGCAATTATAATTGTAAATCCTAAAAGGAAATTTTGAGAACTTGATATAATACTAAAATTCAAACAAAGGAACAAATGTACCTAAAGTTTAAGATAATTTTGAGGGGATTAAACCAACAGGGAAGATGACTTGTTTCTCAGATATTAAAATATATCCCTAAATCATAATAATTAAAATAGTTTGACAGTGGCCCAGAAAATTCACGTAACAATGAAAAAGGATATAGCTTAACAATGTGTTTATAAACTCTGACTATCATAAGGTAACATCTCAAGTCATTGAGAAAAATAAAGTATTAGTAAATAATGTAAAATTGGCTCACTATGGAGGTTTTCATTTTATACAATGTGTAGGAATAAACTCAAAGATCGACTAATGGTCTAAATTTGACAGCTAAAACTAGAAAGCTAATAGAAAAAGTAGGTGAGTAACTTTGTGACTTTAAGGTACAGAAGAATTTATATCAGAACTAAAGATTTCAGGTTTACTCTAAACATAGTAGACTACCGCAGGCAAAGTTAAAAGGCAATCAATAAAAGAGACATATATATATATAGTTTGTTACCAAAAGGAATTAATATTTAAAACACTTAAGAAATTACTGCAGGCCAGGCGCGGTGGCTCATGCCTGTAATCCCAGCACTTTGGGAGGCCGAGGCGGGCGGATCACAAGGTCAGGAGATCGAGACCACAGTGAAACCCCGCCTCTACTAAAAATACAAAAAATTAGCCGGGCGCGGTGGCGGGTGCCTGTAGTCCTAGCTACTCAGGAGGCTGAGGCAGGAGGCTGAGGCAGGAGAATGGCGTGAACCCGGGAGGCGGAGCTTGCAGTGAGCCGAGATCGCGCCACTGCACTTCAGCCTGGGCGACAGAGCGAGACTCTGTCTCAAAAAAAAAAAAAAAAAAAGAGAAATTACTGCAAAATAGCAGGTAAAATACAGTAAACCATATTAAAAAAAGAAAAACTGGCCAAAGGATATGGACAGAAAATTCATAAAAGGGCAAACCTGAAGCAGGGTCACCACACTGCACAACTCTAGGGGACAATATCCATGTGAAAATAGTGCCCTGGAGGTGTGCAGTTCTCCAGGGCATGGTTTGTGCAGTGACGATGTTGACTGGCTGTCATATAAATAATGCTCAGCCTCACTAGTAATCAGGAAAATACAAATTAAAGCAAAAAGATACTACTTGGTACCTATCAGATTGATAGAATTAAAGAAACAATTAATGTGGGAAAGAGGTATAAAGCATAATATGGTACATAGAACAATGAATACAGAGGTAGGTAAATATTAATAAACGAACAGAAGGAGAACCAGAAGGCTACCTGTTAAATACAAGACTGGGTGCCTATGTAAAGAATAAAGAATAGAAAAAGAATAGAACTGTACAGGCTACATGGAGAAAACAATGTGGGCCTTGAATAGGTCAACAATGACAATATGCCATAAACTGGAGTCTGAGTTACTCAATTTTGTATACCCAATATTAAAAGAAAGATATAACAGAAATATCAGATAATTCTAGAAAATGCAAACTAATTTATAGTGACAAAAGCAGATCAGTAGTCTCTTGAGGAGGTGGGGGGCAGGAAGAAGGAATTACAAAAAGGCATGAGGAAACTCTTGGGGGTAACTGATATGTTCATTATCTTTTTCATTTTTAAATTTTTTAAGAGATAGGGTCTTGCTCGGTAGTCCAGGCTGGAGTGCAATGGCACAACCACAGCTCATTGCAACCTCGAACTCCTGGCCTCAAGCAATCCTCCCTCCTGGGCCTCCCAAAGTGCTGGAATTATAAGCATGAGCTACCATGCCTGGCCCGTTCATTATCTTAATTGATTTCTCAGTTGTATACATGTGAAAAGTTACCAAAACACACATTTTAAACAACATAGTTTATTGAATAGCAATTATACCTCAAATAAACTGTTAAGATTACATAAAAAACACACGAGAGGCCAAGCGTGGTGGTTCATGCCTGTAATCCCAGAACACTGGGAGGCTGTGGTAGAAGGATTGCTTGAGGCCAAGAGTTTGAGACCAGCTTGGGCAACAGAGTAAGACCTTGTCTCTACAAAAAAAAAAAGTTTTAATTAACCAGGCACGGTGGCACACGGCTGTAGTCCCAGCTACTAGGGAAGCTGAGGTGGGAGGATCACCTGAGTCCAGGAGTTCGAGGTTTCAATGAGCTATGATTGTGCCACTGCACTGGAGCCTGAGTGACAAAGCAAGAACCTGTCTCAAACTAAACAAACAAACAAGAACTGCCAGATATTAATTTAAATAAATAATATATACCATATGACAAAACCTACAGCATCTACTAATGTACTTCTATTAGATCTAATTAAACATTCTTAATTCACCAAATAATTAGACCTTTTTACATAAATTACCTGTGTTTGTCCTCTTTGAAATAATGCTGATCCATGAAGGGTTTTAAACGTATCCACCTCACAACTTATATTCCTAAGTGAAGTCAAATCCCGACCATCACACCTATAGTGATACAGGAAATAAATACATGAAGTCATACTGGAAATCAGATAAATCACACGTGTTTATTTCTGCCAGGAAATTCTCAGTCTCAGTTGCGTATCATAATCCCCTGTAGAACTTTAAAAAATAATAGATACTTGAGCACTATCCTGAATATCACTGAATCAGAACGTCTGAAGTTGAACCTATATTACTGTGTTGTTAAAAAGCTCTATAGGTAGGCCAGGTGCGGTGGCTCACGCCTGTAAACCCAGCACTTTGGGAGGCCGAGGCAGGCAGATCACGAGGTCAGGAGATCGAGACCAACCTGGCTAACACGGTGAAACCCCGTCTCTACTAAAAATACAAAAAAGTAGCTGGGCGTGGTGGTGGGTACCTGTAGTCCCAGCTACTTGGGAGGCTGAGCGGGGAGAATGGCGTGAACCCGGGAGGTGGACCTTGCACTGGGCCGAGATTGCGCCACCGCACTCAGCCTGGGCGACAGAGCGAGACTCTGTCTCAAAAAACAAACAAACAAAAAAATGCTCTACAGGGAATCCTGAAGTGCAGTCAGGGCTGGCAAGCACTGCTTTACACACAAGGCCCAAGACAGATGGTCACATATCTATGTATCTTCTTTCTTCAATAGGTGTCCATTTATATAGCAAATATTATAATTCTTTACTGTTCACTTGAAAAAAAACAAACTTTCTTTGATCAAGTTTCTATTTTCAAGGCAACTTGCAGAGACAGTGCATACTTAAATTTCAACAAAAAAGGTTATGTTTACCTTTTGTATTCATTCAAAATAATACTTCTAAAAACTTCCTTTGCAACAACATTGAAGGATTCTATTATTTCATATGGATCGGCCTCCGGAAATTTTTCTATAGAAAAAAGACAAACCAAGACAAAGTTTTTTACTTTTTAGGAGACAGGATTTCTCTAAAGGTCATAGCATAAAATCAACTAACTACAGGAATCAACCAAGGGAGATGACTCTGAACATGTAGTCCTCAGGCAAACAAAGTAGATAAATGTTCTCAAGCAACTGTGACATATCAAGTACCAAGTACCACAATGGTGTTGTTATTGAGAACTTAATTTTCTTTTTTTTTTTTTGGAGACAAAGTCTCGCTCTGTTGCCCAGGTTGGAGTGCAATGGTGCAATCTTGGCTCACTGCAACCTCTGTCTCTGGGGTTCAAGCAATTCTCCTGCCTTAGCCTCCTGAGTAGCTGGAACTACAGGTGTGTGCCACCATATCCGGCTAATTTTTTGTATTTTAGTGGAGACGGGGTATTACCATGTTGCCCAGGCTGCTCTTGTAACTCCTGAACTCAGGCAATCTGCCTGCCTCGGCCTCCCTAAGTGCTAGGATTACAGGCGTGAGCCACTGCGCCCGGCCCATCAGTTCCCTTTTCTATTATGTTACCAGAAGAATCCAGCCAACCTTTATGGAAAGGTCTGACAGTCTTTTTTTGTTTTTTTTTGAAACGGAGTTTCGCTCTTATTGCCCATGCTAAAGTGCAATGGCATGATCTCAGCTCACCGCAACCTTCGCCTCCTGGGTTCAAGCAATTCTCCTGCCTCAGCCTCCCTAGTAGCTGGGATTACAGGCATGTGCCAACACACCCAGTTAATTTTTGTATTTTTAGTAGAGACTGGGTTTCTCCATGTTGGTCAGGCTGGCCTTCAGGCTGGGCTCAAACTCCTGACCTCAGATGATCCGCCTGCCTTGGCCTCCCAAAGTGCTGGGATTACAGGCGTGAGCCACCGCGCCTGGCCTAACTGACAGTTTTAAGAGTAGTCACCCTCACTCTTTTGCCTTTAATCTAAATCTGCAAATTGGGGAACAATTTAAAAAATATATTATAAATCCCTACAGACTGTTTTCTATCTAATATTTGTCAAATGCTTTCATGAGGCAGGCACTTTATTGGTTTTTTAATACTTTTAACTTTCATAATAACTTATGAAATAAATTTTATTATTCCCATTCTACAGAAGAAAAAACTGAAGCTTAAAGGGGTGGAGTGCTGTGTAAGAGATAACCAGAGTTTAAAAAAAAAAAACATAAATAAAAAATAAAGAGGTGGAGTAAACTGCCTGAGACCACACAGATAGTTAACTGATACAGCTGTGACCTGAATACAGCTCTGTCAGCCTCAAAGGCTTATGGTTTTATTTTATTTTATTTTTAGCTTAGGGTTTAGATGTTAAGCTACTCTACCCTATCAATTAATTTATGCCAAGTTTTAAGTACTGTTCTCTCATGTGTATGGTTTATTAAATATAACTTCAAAGTAACCAAAACATAAGAAATGATCACATAAAGATATATTAGTATCGTATCTTCCTCAGATAAGAATAATTTTTAATATTAGACTTTAATATCTTTTCTGCTTTAACTGAGTTGTACTTAGAAAAGAGAACAATCACTACCAAAACATTTAAAATATCCTATCAACCCAGAGGGTCGTGAAGCTATTCTACTATGTATAATACAAACAAAAAGTCATTTTTCTTTTAAAATAAGACAATATTTGCTATAAAATTTCTTTCTTAACAACTAGGATGAAATGTAGTGAGAAAGGACTAAACTTATTCAATGACAATTACAATTAATGGCCTTAATATCAATGCCAACAGCATTTTTTTTTTTTTTTTTTGAGATGGAGTCTTGCTCTATTGCCCAGGCTGGAGTGCAGTGGCGATCTCAGCTCACTACAACTTCTGCCTAACAGGTTCAAGTGATTCTCGTGCCTCAGCCTCCCGAGTAGCTGGGATTACAGGCACCTGCCACCATGCCTGCCTAATTTTTGTATTTTTGGTAGAGATGGGGTTTCACCATATTGGCCAGGCTGGTCTTGAACTCCTGACCTCAAGTGATCCACCTGGCCTCCCAAAGTGCTGGGATTACAAGCATGAGCCACCACACCTGGCCAGTTTTTTATCTTAAAATAAATATTCATGTGAAAGTATATTTGTCTATTAGAAAAATTAACAAAAACTATGTCATACTTCATTTATATTCAATTTGTGTTAGGTTGATATTATACAGTAAGATCCTTTGCTTAATAATTTCTGGAGAGCTAAATTACCTAAGTTCTGTATCGTATGATTCCACTAGGTATTAATAAGAATAGCATCAGTTAACATTTATTGAACACTTACTGTGTGCCAGGCACAGATGTAAATGATTCACTCATTTAATCCCCATAAACCAGGTATTACTAACACTGCAATTTCACAGATCAAGAACTCAATAATTTTAAAGAATATATTTGTGTTTTCAAATGACAAAATACCAGGTTACATTTCTTGTATGATAAGAATTTGATTCAGAAAAGATCAGGAACATTCACATTCAACATTTACTAGGTACCTACTCCACATCAAATGTAGTGCTAGCCACATTTATAGAAGTTAATTTAGCAGTAACCCTGTGACCTATCATTATTGCAAGTTTACTGAAAATAAAGCTGAGAAGCAATGAGAGTAACATTTATTTGAGATCTTCAACCAAAGTTTTTTTAAAAGTCTATTATTTCTTTCAACACTTTTAAAATTAAAAAATACATAGTAATAGCGGTTCTGTGCAAAGGGGACTTTCTCTTTCCCTGAAACAGCTCGGGGAGGCTTTGGAGAAGAGGTGGCATTTGAACCTTGAGTTAGAAGAAGACCATCTGCTATGAGAGAGCATTCCAGGTCTAGGGAACAGCAGCTGTAAAGTTCAAAGTCCTTTGAACTCTTCTTTTCCTACGGATGTGATGCCTTTCCTCTTTGATCTTTAATCCCAAGAAGCAAGAGTCAGGCCATGCCTTATTAAAGCTGCCCTCAGCAAAAAAACAAAATAAAATAAAATGAAATTTACCTTTTAGTTGTTCCTCTGTATCTAATCTTATTTTGTTAATAGCTTCATCTCTGGAAACCTAAAAGAAAGTTGAGGTTCAGTTATTACATATACATGACATTTAACATTTCTATTTTCTAATTATTATACAATGAACACATTGTGAATTACTCAGATTTATCTAACTATAATATTCTTTAAAACACTGGAATTGGTTATTGATTTATGACAAATATTACCTGTTAATTCATTCAAATACATTCGTGCACTCCCCTAAAACTTATACTAAAAAGAAAAGAACTTTGGGTGGCCAAAGTGGGCAGATCACTTGAGGCCAGGAGTTCGAGACCAGCCTGGCCAACATGGTGAAACCTCGTCTCTACTAAAAATACAGAAGATAGCTGGGTGTGGTGGCGTGCACCTGCAATCCCAGCTACTTGGGAGGCTGAGGCAGAAGATTCGCTGGAAGGCGAAAGTTGCAGTGAGCTGAGATCACACCACTGCACTCCAGCCTGGGAGATAGAGAGAGACTGTCTCAAAAACAAAACAAAACAAAAGAATGGAGAAACAATTAGACTTTTGTTAGCTTTTTGTTTAGAGATTTTTAATAAAAATAGGACTAACATTCATAAAATTACATGAATTATGACAGAAATGTATTCCTAGGGCAATTATAGAAGACACAACTTGGGTATACCTACTTTTTCATGTTCGTAATCTGTAAAAACTGCATAGAGTCTCTCCATAGCGAGTCTATTTAAGCACAAAATAAATGTTAGCATAATAATATTTGGAAACATGAGGCAGTTTCTATTATAAACAAAACTGAAATATTTAATAATCAGCTAAAACTTTAATAAATACTTCAGAAAGAATTAAAAATTTATATTGCTATTTATCATTGCTAATCTGTTTACTATTTACGGCACAGAACCCAAATTTCTTTCTCTCACCCTCTCAGGGGAAACCACATGTGGCATCCTGTTCTCTTCTTTTTAATTGTTCAATTAATTTCACCTTTCACATACTCTTTTTAACCTCTTCCTTTCTTCATTCTACCCATTTTGGCTCAATTATCACAGGAAACTCTTTTGCTAGGAAGAGTTAATTTAATTTCTGACTGATGGCTGTGCAACTGACATTAAGGGAAAGTTTTAACCTTTTCAATTTTTTCAAATAAAATAATTTATCAGTGATTCATTTACATTTACTGAGTGTCTGCCTAATGTTCTAAGCACTGGGCATGTAACAGTGATTACATCTGATTTCTCTTTGAGAATTCCAACAGCTTCCTTAGATATTCAAGTATCTTATTTATTTTCTTTTTCCCAGACATGGAGAGATGTGGTGATCACCTGAATCTTGACCAATAAACACCCTCTTTCGTTTGAGATTCAAAGTTAGGCCTTACAAGTGTGATGTGGGCTTATCCTTTTTAAGGGAGTAAACAGATATATGAGAATGACTCTTAAAACAGAAAAGTGCTATTTACGAAGTAATGGATGGGCAGTGCTTCCATGGGAAGTTTCTCTCCCACGAGGAAATTAAATGTGATGACAATTTCATATTTTCATTTGCACAGATGTTCTTACTTATGAGTATGTTTCACAATCTCTGGCAAAGGGGTAAATAACTTCTGAGGCGTCCTCTTGGTAACACCAATTTCTTTTACCAACTGCTGAATGCCCTGAATTATTTGCTGGGTATATTTCACTCCCACTTTGATAGCATGGCAAAAGTCCTGCTGTAAAATGTTCTCTGCAGAGGCTTCCAACATGACTATTTAAAGGAAAAAGAAAAAAAAAAATGACTGCCATCAAAGTTCTTAGTAATATAACAGTTTCAAATACCATGACATGACATAAATATTGTGGATCAATTTTACTTCTTAGTGATAGATCCACCTTGATTTCTTTCCTCAGAATCAACATACTTCCAAAATGTAAGCAGCAGTAAATGAATAAAGACACCTTGATATTCGTATTTAGGTTTATATTCTCCTTAAGTTTAAGGAGGGATTTCCCATAAAAAATGAAACAGAAGAAAAAAAATAAATTATGTATATATTTAAAAAATAAGATATTGAGCTATGTCACATAAGATAAAAATTAAATCTTTTAAAGTATACAAGTGCTTTTGTTTTTAATACTTTTTTTTTTTTTTTTTTGAAACGGAGTCTTGCTCTGTCGCCCAGGATGGAGTGCAGTGGCGTGATCTCGGCTCACTGCCAGCTCTGCCTCCCGGATTCATGCCATTCTCCTGCCTCAGCCTCCCGAGTAGCTGGGACTACAGGTGCCCGTGACCACGCCCAGCTAATTTTTTGTATTTTTAGTTAGAGATGGGGTTTCACCACGTTAGCCAGGATGGTCTCGATCTCCTGACCTTGTGAACCACCCGCCTCGGCCTCCCAAAGTGCTGGGATTACAGGCGTGAGCCACCGCGCCTGGCAATACATATTTTAAATAAAATGTAAAAATATGTAACACAATAGGAATCTAATAAATATTTCCTGTTTAATAATTAATTGTCACATCGTCTAATTCTTGCACAGATGGGGAAATCTTTGCAGTGATCCTGTTTCAAGTAAGCCAACTAAAGGACTGTAATGACCATCATAAACAGATAGCTTTTATAACAATTAAACTCCTGTGTAATGCAGGTAGAAGTTAGGCTTCTAAAATCTACTATTCAGTTTCAGTTTTGCATTCCAGGAGGCTGACTAGCCTCCTGCCTACTTGTGTGTCAGTTCTGGTGTCTCTCAACTTGTACAAAGTCAAAGATCAGGCAAATGCATAGTTATCAACATATTTTATATATTTAACCACATCCTGTTGTCATTAAGATTATCTAACTCATTACTTCTAAGGTTTCTAGGTTCAATTTATAATAGAATGAATGCCTCCACCCTCTCAATGTGCTTTATATGTTGGAATTCCATCAGCCAACGGAAGTAGACTCATGAAAGGAGCTAATATTTGTGTTATCAGAATCATGGAAGAATAGGAGAAAGAGGTCAGGGCTAAAAAAGTACTAGAAAAAATAATTGCTGAAAACTCCCCAAATTTGACAGACACAAACCTACAGATTCAAAGTAAACTCTCAACAGGGTAATCCTCAAAAAAGCCAAGCCAAGAAACATCATAATCAGACTTCTGAAAAAAAAAGACGAAAACTTGAAACCAGCCAGAGAAAAATGACACCTTACCTCTAGGGGAAAAGCAATTCAAATAATAGCAGATTTACCATCAGAAACCATGCAGGCCAAAAGGAAGTGGCACGGTATTTTTCAGGTGCTGAAAGAAAAGAACTGTCAACCCAGAATCCTACACCCAGTGAAAATACTAAGGAAGGAAGGGGAAGTCAAGACTCTCAAATAAAGGAGAAATAAAAAAATTTGTTGCCAAACAGAAATGAAAAAATAAGAGAAGAAATCGTGGACTGTTAGAAAGGAAAGAAAATCAGTATGCAAACTAAGAATAAACATAGAGGTTGGGCATGGTGGCTCACACCTGTAATCCCAGCACTTTGGGAGGCTAAGGTGGGCAGATCACCTGAGGTCAGGAGCTCGAGACCAGCATGGCCAACATGGTGAAACTCTGTCTGTACTAAAAATACAAAAAAAATTAGCCAGGCGTGGTGGTGGGTGCCTGTAATCCCAGATACTCAGGAGGCTGAGGCATGAGAATCGTTTGAACACAGGAGGTACAGGTTGCAGTGAGCCGAGATCACACCACTGCACTCTAGCCTGGGCGACAGAACAAGGCTCCATCTCAAAATAAATAAATAAATAAATAAGAGAGAAAAAGAGTAAATACAGAGCAATAAGTTTTTCTTTCCCTCTTGAGTTTTCTAAATTATGTTGACATTTGAAGTAAAAGCAAAAATTTTTAACGCTGCCTGACATGGTTCTAACCGCAGAAGAAAATGAAAACAATTGCATTCCAAATGGGAGAGGGTAAAGGGAAATAAGGTTTCCATATTTTGCACCAGGCCTGAAGAAATTTCCTATGATAACATGATACTAAGATGGCTATATTCTTTTTCTCATCTGTATTTCCAGGATATCCTCTCACTTTGACAGAATTAAACAGCAGATTTTTAAAAATTCATTTAATGGGTATAAATTATATCTCAATAAATTGCTTTTAAAAATAAAATATGTGGCCAGGTATGATGGCTCACGCCTATTGTCCCAGTACTTTGGGAGGCCAAGGTGGGAGGATTATTTGAGGCCAGGAGTCTGCGATCAGGCTTAGCAACACAGCAAAGTCCTGTCCTAAAAAAATAACAACTAGAAGATAAAAAACTCAGCTGTGGTGGTGTGCCTGTAATCCTAGCTATTTTTCTAGAGGCTGAGGCAGGATGATCGCTTGAGCCCAGCAGTTTGAGGGTACAGTGACCCATGATTATGCCACTATACTCATACTCTAGTCTGGACAACAAAGTGAGAATAGTTGAGAATCAGATTAAAAAATATATATATATATGGCTAGACATGGGGCTCATGCTTGTAATTCCAGTGCCAAGACAGGAGGATTACTTGAGGCCAGAAGAATAGCCTGGGCAATATAGTGAGATGCTATATCCAATAAAAATAATGATAAAATTTAAAAAAAAAGAATATGACAAAGAAAAATGGGGCTGGGCACGGTGGCTCACGCCTGTAATCCCAGCACTTTGGGAGGCCAAGACGGGCGGATCACGAGGTCAGGAGATCGAGACCATCCTGGCTAACATGGTGAAATCCCGTCTCTACTAAAAAACACAAAAAACTAGCTGGGTGAGGTGGCGGGCGCCTGTAGTCCCAGCTACTCGGGAGGCTGAGGTAGGAGAATGGTGTAAACCCGGGAGGCAGAGCTTGCAGTGAGCCGAGATCGCGCCACTGCATTCCAGCCTGGGCAACAGAGCGAGACTCTCAAAAAAAAAAAAAAGAAAAGAAAAATGGATACCTCCCCTCAAAATATATTTTGTTTTCACTCATTAAACTTTAATGCAATTCCTTTTAAAAAATATTTTATAAGAAAATTCCTTTAGCCAGGTGTGGTGACATGTGCCTGGATTCCCAGCTACTCAGGAGGCTGAGGACAGAGGATCGTTTGAACCCGAGAGTTTGAGGCTGTAGTGACACATAATCACACCATTGCATTACAGCTTGGAGACAGAGTGAGACTCTGTCTAAAAAAAAAAAAAAAAAAAAAGGAAGGAAGGAAGGAAGGAAGGAAGGAAGGAAGGAAGGAAGGAAGGAAGGAAGGAAGAACACTCCTTACAGTTGAGTCTATAGAGCTGTGCTGTCCAATATGGTAACTACTAGCCACATATGCCTATTTGCATTTAAATGACTTAAAATTAGACAAAATTAAAATTTTGGTTCCTCAGTTACTCTAGCCACATCTGAAGTGCTAAGTAGCCACATGATCAGATATAAAACATTCCCTTCACTGCAGAGAGTTCTACCGGAAAACACTGCCACGGATGCTAAAAAATTAAACATAAAAGCTTGTCAAAATGATTGCTATAGGCCTGGCATGGTAGCTCATGCCTGTAATTCCAGTACTTTGGGAGGCCGAGGCAGGTGGATCACCTGAGGTCAGGATTTTGAGACCAGCCTGGCCAACAGGTGAAACCCTATCTCTACTAAAAATAAAAAAATTAGCCAGGTGTGGTGTCACGCGCCTGTAGTCTCAGCTATTTGTGAGGCCAAGGCAAGAGAATCACTTGAACCCAGAGGTGGAGGTTGCAGTGAGCCCAGATCGCACCACTGCACTCCAGCCTGGGCAACAGAGTAAGACTCCATCTCAACTAAAAACAAAACGAAAACAAAGATTGCTATAAACTGTCAACCATTTTAGCAGTTGAAGATGCAGTTTTGAGATTAGCTGAAGCTATAAATTCTAGACACAAAATCTTTTCTAAAAACATGTTGGCCGGGCGCGGTGGCTCAAGCCTGTAATCCCAGCACTTTGGGAGGCCGAGGCGGGCGGATCACGAGGTCAGGAGATCGAGACCATCCTGGGTAACACAGTGAAACCCCGTCTCTACTAAAAATACAAAAACTTAGCCGGGCGAGGTGGCAGGCGCCTGTAGTCCCAGCTACTCGGGAGGCTGAGGCAGGAGAATGGCGTGAACCCGGGAGGCGGAGCTTGCAGTGAGCTGAGATCCGGCCACTGCACTCCAGCCTGGGTGACAGAGCGAGACTCCGTCTCAAAAAAAAAAAAAAAAAATGTTATTGGTATACTTTTTCCTGACTTATATCTTCTCACACACAGAAATATTAGTGATATTAAATATACCAGTTGAAAACAAGCATCTAAATGGCACTGTTCAGAATGTTGGTGTTGAAGTAATCCAGCAGCTGACAGCATGGAGTAATTATTCTTGCCCTATAAGATTATACTTTAAAGATCTGGATGACTGCCCAGGAGTGGTGGCTCAAGCCTGCAATCCCAGCACTTTGGGAAGCCAAGGTGGGTAGATCACCTGAGGTCAGGAGTTCAAGACCAGCCTGGCAAACATGGTGAAACCCTGTCTCTACTAAAAATACAAAAATTGGCCAGGTGTGGTGGTGCACGCCTGTAATCCCAGCTACTCAGGAGGCTGGGTCAAAAGAATCACTTAAACCTGGGAGGCGGAGGTTGCACTGAGCCGAGATCGTGCCACTGCACTCCAGCCTGGGCAACAGAGAGAGACTTGGTTTCCAAAAAAAAAAAAAAAAAAAAAAAAGATTTGGACGACTAAATATTTTAATAACGAAATAGTAGCAATTACTTTTTTGTATTTTTGTATCACAAAAGTTCCATGATGGTGGTATTTCACTTGGACCCGATGTTAACTTTAACAGGTAAACAAGGGGTTAAAATGCATATTTGATGCATCTTTATGAATGCAGAGAGCTGGTTAAATAGCTGCATGGAAATAGTGATACAAAAGTCATAAACTGGAGGCTGGTAATTCCTAAAAACCATCTCCTTACAGGTTGGTTCTGAATTACTCTCAGTCTCCCTCTACCCAAGACTACTCTCTGAAATTTATGCAGTCTCTAGAGTCTCATTCTTCCCTCCTCAGAGCAACAGGTGAGAAGAGCCAGCTGGAAGTCTGCCTATGGGGTTTCTATGGCATGCCATATGTGCAGCAAAGATTCCTTGGTTCTGCTGGGTGCAGTGGCTCATGCCTGTAATCCTAGCACTTTTGGAGGCCGAAGCAGGTGGATCGCTTGAGGCCAGAAATTCAAGACCAGCCTAGCCAACATGGCAAAATCCCGTCTCTACTAAAAATACAAAAATTAGCTGGGCGTGGCGGCGCATGCCTATAATCCCAGCTACTTGGGAGACTGGGCAGGAGAATCAATTGAACTTGGGAGGCAGAGGTTGCAGTGAGCTGAGACTGCACTGCTGCACTCCTCTACCCTGGGAGACAGAGCGAGACTCGGTCTCAAAAAAAAAAAAAAAATTGTGAATTAGTCCATTCCTCTAATGTCTACTTACAATTAGAAGAGTTCAAACTCTAAGGCAGATAACGGCTATATGACCAATTAGCAACAGGTTTATTTCCGTGTCTTAATGATAATAGCAAGTATTAACTGTATGCTTATTAGGTACCAGTAACATGCTGGGCACTTTGCAAACCTTGACTCCTATCTTCATAACTACCCTCCCTGTAAAGTAACCAGACTAGTTTACTAATAGAGAATAAACGAACACTGTAACTTTCAGCAAAAAATTCAGATGCAGATGAACAGGAAACCAATACTTTGCTCAAGGCTCCGAGATGCTCAAACATGAAGTAGACATCATCTATTATTCACAGCTTCCTCATTCTTTGGAATATCCTCTCTACATTTTGACAGTTACCCACAGTACGAATCCCACCTTCCGGAGGCAGAATACAAAAATCATTTCCTTGCCTTCCTTGCAGTCGAGGGTATAGTCATGTGCCACAGTTCTGCTCAATGAGATGTAAGTAGAAACTGCTGTGTGGGGATTTCTGGGAAAGCTGCTTAAAACGCAGGTTGACTCACTCAACTGCCACACACCTTTTTGCTATTCCCTTCTTTTTTCTTCCTCCTGCCTATAAGTCAGATACGTTGGCCAGAGCTCTTCATGCCAGTTCATAAGCATGAAGATGAGGCCACATCTTGAGGATAACAGAGGAGAAAGCTAAAAGGAATCTAGATTTCTTAAGATGTCATGGAACCACTATCACTGTCTTAGATTTACCACCTCTGAATTTCTTTTACCTGAGAGAAATACAACGTTTCCATCCTGTTTAAGTCTTATTTTGTTCGACAACACAACCCCCAACTAATACATGGGGATTTTTCTTTCTTATAGAACCTAGTTTTAACTTTATCACTAGCTAACATACCAGAAGCAGAAGCTGGAAATGAGATGTTTCACATATTACTTGTACAAAAAAGCAGTAATAGTTGAATAGTTTGTTTCATCAAAATGTTCCCACATCAGAACATTGTCAAAAAGTCCCACACATCAAATATCACATGGTAGAATAAACCAACAATAAAAGCCCTTAAATAATTTGTCCAAGATCACACGATTATAGTGGCAGAGACAGGTTTCAAATCCAGGTCATTCTGACTGCTAAAGTCCATTTTCCTTCCACAGAACAAGGACTTGATTTTCATTCATGCAAGTATGGCATTTCTGTTACAAGGAGGATGTGAAAATGGCCCATGGTCAATGCATTTCTTCTATTTTATTACTCGTTTTCCACCTAGTAGAAATGGGTCACTTCTCAAGAGGATACCAAGCAGACTTAGAAATAGCTAAATTATAATATTTAAACTAATAAAATGGTTACTATCAGACTTAGAACTTCTATTTTTAAACTAAGTTATTTAGACTAATAACTTATTAGTCTAAACATAATTACTGAAATTGGCTGGGCGCGGTGGCTCAAGCCTGTAATCCCAGCACTCTGGGAGGCCAAGACGGGCGGATCACGCGGTCAGGAGATCGAGACCATCCTGGCTAACACGGTGAAACCCCGTCTCTACTAAAAAAGATACAAAAAACTAGCCAGGCGAGGTGGCGGGCGTCTGTAGTCCCAGCTACTTGGGAGGCTGAGGCAGGAGAATGGCGTAAACCCAGGAGGCGGAGCTTGCAGTGAGCTGAGATCTGTCCACTGCACTCCAGCCTGGGCGACAGAGCGAGACTCCGTCTCAAAAAAAAATAAATAAAAATAGAAATTATTCTTAGACAAAATATTAGTCTAAAAATAATTACTGAAATGGTCTTGGTAAATACTTCTGTATATTTTAAATAAAATTGAGTAAAATCCTGTAATTTTAGGTATCATTTGATATGAAGCAAGAGCACTACAAAAATAGGACAGAGATAAAACATAACCAAAATTTTTATGGCTACCGACAAAACATATACACAAAGAGTTTAAATTTAGTTTAAGAAGAAAGAACTTGTCAGTAAAATCCAGAACAAATGAGGTATTTAAACAACTTACCAATCTGACTTTTAGGTGCCCCAGCAACCACTAAATTTAAAGTACTGGAAGACATTTCTTTTCTTGTTGGGTTAACAACATATTCTCCATCAATCATTCCTATTCGTACTGCCCCTAAAATGTATTAGAACATTGGCAACTGTTTAATGGAAATTCCCAGTTTTCAAGACATTATTCCAGTGATGGCTTCAACCCCATCTTTGATTGTGACCACAGAATAAAATCCATGTTTCTAACACGGTATTTAAGACCCACAGAACATCCTACCCCACCCTACCTTCTGGCCTCATGGACTACTCTGAATTGGTCAAATATACCACTTCTTCCACACCTCTGGGATTATGCTTATGTTTGTCCCCTGGTCTAGAGAGTATTCTCCCTAAGGCAAATGCTTAACACCAGACCCTACTAAGGTTCAGCTTACACAATGACTACTCTGAGGAGCCCTCCTTGACAACTTGACCACACAAAATCAAACCTGCTCTTCTCTATCATATTCTTAGCACTTTAACTATGTTTTTATAATACCACTGATTATAAATAATTATCTGTCTTCTTTATGCTGAAAGCAATAACTGCATCTTTCATTGTTGTATTGCTAGGGCCTGGTCTGCCTAGGACACTTGATAATTATTTACTCAATGAGCCATTTTTATATTGCATGATTATGACTTGTAACAGCCATAAGTTACATTAATTTTATCCTGAAGGAGTATATACTCTGATAATTTCCCAGTTAAAAAAAAAAAGAAAAAAAGAAGTCCTCTAACGGAAAGAGGCAATTATGAAGTCAAAATATCTAGGGACATAAAATCTATAACACCATAACATACTGCTATTAGAAACAGAACCCACGACAAGGATGAAAATATCTGAAAGACCTGAAAGGAGACTTAGAATGTCATCTAGTTCAATTCATGGTCGCTACTACTTACTGAAAAAAAATATACATATGATTTCTTATTTTTAAATCCTAACTTACCAACAGGTCCATTCCAAGGAATATCTGATAATGACAGGGCCACGGAAGCTTAAAAATGGAGAAAAATAAGGGCTGAAATTAAAATTTCATTGCTTTAAAAAAATCAACACTGATAACTTTTCATCTCTACTTTTATACTTACCGCCATTAATTGCTAGGACATCAGGCTCATTAATACCATCTACTGCTAACAGATTACACAGAACCTGGTAAAAGGGAAAAAATTTGAATCACTTAAAATAATCTGTTTGATTTGGAAGGGTTATCATTTAGGTTAACATCCTGGCCTAAAATACAAGAGCACTATATGGCTAAAAGCAGGGGCTTTGTAGCCAAACCTCTTAATTTTGGCTATCATTTAACTAAATGCTTGACATTGGATAAATTACTTAAATTAAACCCGAAAAGCTTTCTCATCTTTGAAAGGGAAAAATAGGCCAGACGTGGTGGCTCACGCCTGTAATCTCAGCACTTTGGGAGGCTGAGGAGGGCAGATCACCTGAGGTCAGGAGTTTGAGGCTAGTCTGATCAAAATGGTGAAACCCTGTTGCTACTAAAAAGACAAAAATTAGCCAGGTGTAGCGGCCAGTGCCTGTAGTCCCAGCTGAGGCAGAAGAATCTCTTGAACCCAGGAGGTAGAGGTTGTAGTGAGCTGAGATCGCGCCATTGCACTCCAGCCTGGATGCCAGAGTGAGACTCCGTTACTAAATAAATAAATAAATGGGATAAATAATGGCATCTTCCCAAAGGGTGCCTACGAGGATTAGAGAAATACTGTAGGTAAAGCACTTATCACAGTCCTCACATGTTGCAAGTATTCAGTAAATGTTAGCTCTTTCTATCATATAAAAATATTTTCTAGGCCAGACATGGTGGCTCATGCCTGTAAACTCAGCACTTTGGGAGGCCGAGGTGGGCGGATCACCTGAGGTTGGGAGTTCAAGACCAGCCTGGCCAACATGGCAAAACCCCGTCTCTACTAAAGATACAAAAATTAGCCATGCGTGGTAGGGCACGCCTATAGTTCCAGCTACTAGGGAGGCTGAGGCGGGAGAATCACTTGAACCTGGAGGCAGAGGTTTCAGTGAGCTGAGACCGTGCCACTGGACACCAGCCTGGGCAACAAGAGCAAAACTCTGTCTCAAAAAAAAAAGAAGGCCGGGCGCGGTGGCTCACGCCTGTAATCCCAGCACTTTGGGAGGCCGAGGCGGGCGGATCACAAGGTCAGGAGATGGAGACCACGGTGAAACCCCGTCTCTACTAAAAATACAAAAAATTAGCCGGGCGCGGTGGCGGGCGCCTGTAGTCCCAGCTACTCAGGAGGCTGAGGCAGGAGAATGGCGTAAACCCAGGAGGCAGAGCTTGCAGTGAGCCGAGATCGCGCCACTGCACTCCAGCCTGGGCGACAGAGCGAGACTCCGTCTCAAAAAACAAACAAACAAACAAAAAAAAAAAAAAGAAAGAAAAAAAATTCTGTTGAGCAGGGTGCGGTGGCTCACACCTGTAATACCAGCACTTTAGGAGGCTGAGGCAGGGGATCACTTGAGGTCAGGAGTTCAAGACCAGTCTGGCCAACATGGCAAAACCCCATTTCTATTAAAAATACAAAAAAATTAGCTGGGTGTGGTGGCGGGCACCTGTAATCCCAGCTACTCAGGAGGCTGAGGCAGGGAGAATCGTTTGAACCTAGGAGGCGGAGATTGCAGTGAGCCGAGATCGCGCCATTGCACTCCAGCCTGGGTGACAGCGAGAGATTCCGTCTCCAAAAAAAAAAAAAAAAAGTTCTGTTTATAAGCATAGATGAAACAAACTTTATACTGCAATAATGTGCCCATGTCACGCACTTAAGAAAAAAACTTCTCTGACTGGGTGTGCTGGCTCATAGCTGTAATACCAGTAGTTTGGGAGGCTGAGGCAAGAGGATTGCTTGAAAGCAGGAGTTTGAGACCAGCCTGGCTTATATAGTGAAACCCCCCTCTACAAAAAAAAAAAAAAAACTTAGCTGGGTATGGTGGTTTGTGCCTGTAGTCCCAGCTACTTAGAAGGCTAAGTGGGGAGGATCACTTGGGCTCAGGAGTTTGAGGCTGCAGTGAGTTATAACCATGCCAACTGTACCCCAGCCTGGGCAACAGAGGCCCTGACTCAAAAAAAACAAAAAACAAAACTTCCTGAGGTTAAGGCTGTGATATTCTTGCAAAGGCATATTTGCAAGGTGTATTTATTTATTTCAAATGAATAAAATGGTTACTTAAGTATACGTGTCATTCCTGAAAGAAAATATTATTCAGAAAGTATTAACATATAATAAAGTAGAGGTTCAGAGGATCCAGCAATAAAATTAGGTAATAAAAATTAGCTATGTTGGTTGTCCTATTCCCAGCCTGATCTGGTCTCTACTCACTCTAGTCACCCTGATCTTCTTTTTAAACTCACTAATTTCTTTCCTGCCTCTGGACTTTCAATGCTTCCCTGACACACCTTGGTTGGCTAACTCCTACTCATAATTCAGGTGTCAACTCAAATAGACACTGAATAAATGTTAGCTTTGTAAAAGTACTATCTTTTGGCCGGGCACAGTGGCTCATGCCTGCAATCCTAGCACTTTGGGAAGCCGAGGGGGGCGGATCACGAGGTCAGGAGCTCGAGACCAGCCTGACCAACATGGTGAAAACTGGTCTCTACTAAAAATACAAAAATTAGCCAGGTGTGGTGGTGCGTGCCTGTAATCCCAGCTACTCAGGAGGCTGAGGCAGGAGAATCACTTGAACCTGGGAGGCAGAGGTTGCAGTGAGCTGAGATCGTGCCATTGCACTCTACCCTGGGTGACACAGTGAGACTCGGTCTTAAAAAAAAAAAAAAAAAAAAAGTACTATCTTTTTTCGAAAACTTACTGTAAAATATAACAGTATCATAAAAAATTCTTATGTTCTTTCTAATGTTTAGTCTAGGAAGTATTACAGAGATTCATTAAGTAATTTTTGATTGATCTGGCAACTAAAAAACCTAAAGCAGAACCTACCTGTGTATCATAGAAGTAGCCAGCTGGAAAGAGCGGTCTAATTGAACGATCTGCCAAAAGAAAAAAAAAGACATTAAACCGTACTGACAGAGTTGCTTTACAGTTCAAAACTTTTGAACTAATATAGATAGCCATTCAATATGTTTTCAAGAAAAATCCCCTTGGACCAATTTATTAAGAGGGACACAGATAAATGTCAGTGCTTCCACTATTACATACCATGCCCTAACAACAAAAAACAAACACAGAAGAAGTACATTAACAATAAAGATTGGGGAGCAATTTTTCATTCTGGTTCCACAGGCAACAGTTACATATATAAGCAGAGCAAAGACACTTAAGACCAATAGCAGACCAAAAGAAAATGCTTCCTTGCTACTTTCTGTCTGAAGACTGTATATAAATATACCTAAAATAGCAATTTCTGGCCGACCGCAGTGGCTCACGCCTGCAATCCCAGCACTTTGGGAGGCTGAGGTGGGCAGATCAAGAGATCAGGAGTTCAAGACCAGCCTGAGTAACATGTAGAAACCCCCGTCTCTACTAAAAATACAAAAATCAGCCAGGCATGGTTGTGGGCGCCCATAATCCCAGCTACCCAGGAGGCTGAGGCAGCAGAATCACTTGAACCCGGAAGGCAGAGGTTGCAGTGAGCCAAGACTGCGCCATTGCACTCCAGCCTGGGTGACAGAGCAAGACTCCGTCTCAAAAAAAAAGCAATTTATGGGTAGAAGAGCTATAATTACATACAATCCCACAATATGTAGGGATGTTAAACATTTGAAAGATTATGGACATTATTTCAGTAGCTGATAAATATAATGTTTAGGAATTACTATTCTGAACATGAAAAAATGTACTAGGAATAGATTCAACAGAGTAGAGGCATGGACCATAAAATTCATATGCTCAATAGAAATTTACTCATTTAGTCAACAAATATTTATTGAATGCCTATTCTGTGCTAAGCAGTATAACAGGTACTAGGGATTCAACAGTGAAGAAACAAAAGCTTTTTTCTCCCAGTGCCAACATTTGAGTGAGGGAAGAGAGAGTGAATAATCTTAGGTGGCGTTAATGCTATGAAGGAAAACTTAAGATATACTGTAGAACACAGATGCAAAAGATGCTAATATAGGCATATCAGAGAAGATGAATGCGTCTATGTTAATATCTTACCTATTATTCGACTTGTAAGAATTTCTTTATCAGAAGTACCAATCTCTCTTCTCAGATAGTTTGTGGGAATTCTACCTGCTGCAGCAGCTTTTTGTCTGTAGTCAACCTGAAGTAGCAAAAAAAAAAAAAGTTCATATAATTCTTTTTGTAGAAACAAACTATACTGTAAGAACTACTATATGAATGCTAATTCTCCTGAGGTCGCCAACAACACAGTCTAGACTCAGAGCAGAAAATATGTTACTTACTTAGCATTTTATATCTTTTGGGGAAAGGAAAGTTGATAGAAATGTTTCCGCAAAGTGAAATAAAAAAATGTTCAGGTGTAGTGGCTCACACCTGTAATCCCAGCATTTTGGGAGGCCAAGGCAGGAGGATCGCTTCAGGCCAGGGGTTTTAGAACTGCCTGGGTAACACAGAAAGACCTCGTCTCTACCCCCCATAAAAAAAAGAAAAATTAGTTGGGCACAATGGCCTGCACCCATAGTCCTAGCTACTCAGAAGGCTGAGGTAGGAGGATTGCTTGAGCCCAGGAGTTTGAGGCTGCAGTGAACTATGATCACACCACTGAACAACTCTAACCTGGGTGACAGAGCTAGACCCTGTTTCTTTAAAAAAAAAAAAAAAAAAAAAAAAAAAAAGTCTTCTACTCAACAGTAAGAGTGGAAGACTCACTATTTCCCACAGATACTCATTCTGATCAAGTCAAACATTGCTTTTTTGGGTATCAACTCTGTTAAATATAATTGTGCCCCCCTTTTCATAATAAAAGGGAGCTATAAAATTCAAATAAACTCATTACTAAACATACAGTTGTCTCTTGGTATCCCTGGGAGATTGGTTCTAGGACCTCTTGCGGATATCAAAATCCATTGATGCTCAAATCCTTGATGTAAAACACCATAGTATTTGTTTATAACCTATGTATATCCTCTCATATACTTTAAATCAATCTCTAGATTACATATAATCCTTAATACAAAGTAAATGCTACATAGTTTTTATACCATATTGTAGGGAATGACAAGAAAAAAAAGTCTGTATGTGTTCAGTACAGATGCAATTTTTTCCCCAATATTTTCGATTCATGGTTGGTTGAATCCATGGATGCAGAACCCAAGGACATGGAGGGCTGACTGTACTTGCAGAGTCATACTGAAGGGAAACTATGAGGGAAATGAATTCATTGCTTATTCAGTGTCAAAGTAGTCATGCACTTCCAATCTTCTTGTCAACTTATGCACCTGGACGCTCCAAATTCTAAAGCATGCTTAATCCTAGTATTTGCTTATGAAGCAGTTTATACTCTTTTAATGAGTCAGCATCAAAAAACTAGGAAAAATTCTTTGTTGTGCAAGTTCATATTTTCCACTCACTAGACATGTATTTTCCACTCACTAGACACTGGACAAAAATATTATACATTCTACACTTACTTACACCATATTACAGTTCAGATAAATCAGCAAAAACTTACCACCAAAGGCATAAACTGGGAAGGCGAAGGTTTTGTTTTACTGACTGCTGTGACCATTACTGCAGTGTCACCTGACTTAAACATAAAGAACAACACTGGTAAGTTCATTTGAAATCAGATATCAGCATCTAAGTAGCAACTGAATAAATCCTTACTCCAATTAAACTCAAGAAAAGATATGTAATTCTATGACATGATTATGAAATAAAAAGTTATTCACAAGTAGTCCAATCTTGATCTCTGAGCTTTTCAAAAGCTATGGATAAGGCAAGATTAACAGGTAATTTAGCCGGGCGCGGTGGCTCAAGCCTGTAATCCCAGCACTTTGGGAGGCTGAGACGGGCGGATCACAAGGTCAGGAGATCGAGACCATCCTGGCTAACACGGTGAAACCCCGTCTCTACTAAAAAATACAAAAAACTAGCCGGGCGAGGTGGCGGGCGCCTGTGGTCCCAGCTGCTCGGGAGGCTGAGGCAGGAGAATGGCGTAAACCCGGGAGGCGGAGCTTGCAGTGAGCTGAGATCCAGCCACTGCACTCCAGCCTGGGCGACAGAGCCAGACTCCGTCTCAAAAAAAAAAAAAGAAAAAAAAAAAAAACAAAACAAACAGGTAATTTAGTCATATCCAACGAATTGAATAGTATTCTCTACTTCTTATGTGGCTATACATAAGGAAAAATTCCCCAATTATTACTATAGAAGAAAATACCAAAATCACTTTCTCTAGAAAAGCACAACAGAATTTATTAATGCATAAAAGAGAAGCCCAAGTTTGGAAGGGATGTTAAAGGTCACTTAAAATGGCCAGGCGCGGTCGCTCACGCTTGTAATTCCAGCATTTTGGGAGGGCAAGGCAGGTGGATCACGAGTTCAAGAGATCGAGACCAGGCCAGGCACAGTGGCCCAAGCCTGTAATCCCAGCACTTTGGGAGGCCAAGGCGGGTGGATCACGAGGTCAGGAGATCGAGACCATCCTGGCTAGCACAGTGAAATCCCAACTCTACTAAAAACGCAAAAAATTAGCCGGGCGTGATGGCGGGCGCCTGTGGTCCCAGCTGCTTGGGAGGCTGAGGCAGGAGAATGGCGTGAACCCAGGAGGCGGAGGTTGCAGTGAGCTGAGATCACACCACTGCACTCCAGCCTGGGCGACAGAGAGAGACTCCATCTCAAAAAAAAAAAAAAGAGATCGAGACCATCCTGGCCAACATGGTGAAACCCCATCTCCACCAAAAATAAAAAAATTAGCTGGGTGTGGTGGTGCACTCCTGTAGTCCCAGCTACTCGGGAGGCTGAGGCAAAAGAATCGCTTGAACCCGGGAGGCAGAGGTTGCAGTGAGCTGAAATCGCACCACTGCACTCCAGTCTGGTGACAGAGCAAGAGTCCATCTCAGAAAATAAAAATTAAAAAAATAGAAAAAAATAAGTCACTTAATACATGCAGCCCTCTGGACTCTGGTTGTCGGGAATGATTCTTACAGTATAAACTATCTTAGTAGTATCTGAATTAATTTCCAGTATCAAAATTCTAAGTAGTTACACAATGTTGTAGTTACACATTTAGTATGAGTCTCTGTACCCATTTTTAAGATGAATTTTTAAAATCTGGACTTTTTACCTGTACTACAGCAGAGCCATCTGCAAATCTGGCCAGCTTTCCAGAGGATATTTCTAATTTCCTGTTTAAAAATAAAAATGCAATACAAGAAGACTTAGGTTATCTGTACAATTCCTGCTTAGTATAAAATAATAAAAGATTCTAAGGGAAGATTCTAAACCCCTCCCACCCACCCCACCAACAAAAAGGGGCAGAATCCATGATCATTATCAAAAGTAAAAGGGGAACTTAAGAGTGACTTAAAGAAGAATACAGAAACCAAGGCACAGGATTGATCTGAACAGGAAAGCATTTTGGAGGTTCAGAAGTTAACTGCTTCCCTAAATGTTAATTCCCATGTACCATCTATTTTTTTTTTTTTGCGGGGGCGACGGTGGGTGGTGGGTCATTGTGTCTTGTATCTTCTTTTTCTTTTCTTTTCTTTTTTTTTTTTGACAGAGTCTTGCTCTGTTGCCTAGGCTGGAGTGCAATGGCACAATTACAACTCACTGTAACCTTGAACACCTGGGCTCAAGCGATCCTCCAACTCAGCTTCCTGAGTAGTTGGGACTACAGGTGCACACCACTACACTTGGCTAATTTTAGTTTTTGTTATGGATGAGATCTCACTATATTGTCTAGGCTGGTCTTGAACTCCTGGCCTCAAGCAATTCTCCCGCCTTGGCCTCCCAAAGTGCTGGGATTACAGGTGTGAGTCAAGGTGCCTGGCTCCATTTACCATCTTAGTACAGTCTCTTATCATCTCTCACCTTGTTGACTACAGTAACATTTTAACATACAAATAGGATTGTTTCCCTACTTAAAAATCCTTTAGCCAGGCGTGGTGTCTCCCAACTGTAATCCCAGGACTTTGAAAGGCTGACACAGGCTGATCACCTGAGGTCAGCAGTTCAAGACCAACCTGGCCAACATGGTGAAACCCCATCTCTACTAAAAATATCAAAATTAGCTGGGCATGGTGGTGCCTGTCTATAATCCCAGCTACTAGGGAGGCTGAGGCAAGACAGTTGCTTAAACCCAGGAGGGGGAAGTTACAGCGAGCCGAGATTGTGCCAATGCACTCCAGCCTGGGCGAGAGTGAGACTCCGTACCAAAACAACAACAACAAAAAACACTTGAGAATTTCTCCCAATGCTTTTAGGACAAAATATAAACTCCTAAATATTGCCTATAAGGACCTTCACGTTCAACAGAAGGGGAAAGAATAATCTTCAATTCAATGAGGAAAGAGTAGTCTTGTGAGGCAATAGTGAACAACCGGATGCAAAAAAGAATGAATCTTCATAAATTAACTCAAAATGGATCCTGGACTTAAACGTTAAGAGCTAAAACGATAAAAGTCTTAGAAACAAAACACAGGAGTAAATCTTCAGAGACTTGGGCCAAAGTCTTAAATATGACATCAAAAGCATAAATGACAAAAGAAAAAATAGGTAAGTTGGATTTCATAAAAATTTAAAACTTTAAGAGTAAAAGAAGTGCCATATATTAAGAGAAAAATATTTGCAAACCAAGTATCTGATAAGGGACTTGTATTAATATCTAGAATATTTAAATAATGCTTACAATTCAACAATAAAGACAACTGAATTTTAAAACTTGGCAAAGAGGCTGGGCGCAGTGGCTCAAGCCTGTAATCCCAGCACTTTGGGAGGCCGAGACGGGCGGATCACGAGGTCAGGAGATCGAGACCATCCTGGCTAACACGGTGAAACCCCGTCTCTACTAAAAAATACAAAAAACTAGCCGGGCGAGGTGGGGGGCGCCTGTAGTCCCAGCTACTTGGGAGGCTGAGGCAGGAGAATGGCGTAAACCTGGGAGGCAGAGCTTGCAGTGAGCTGAGATCCGGCCACTGCAGTCCAGCCTGGGCAACAGAGCAAGACTCCGTCTCAAAAAAAAAAAAAACAACAAAAAAAACACACTTGGCAAAGGACTTGAACAGACATCTCTCCAAAGAAGACATACAAATGGCCAGTAAGGACATAAAAATATGCTCAATATCATTAACTATCAGCAGGGAAATGCAAATCAAAATCACAACCTGTTATGAATGTTCCTTGTAGCATTATTCATAGTAGTTCCCAAATGGAAACAACCCAAATGTCCATCAACTGATGAATGGATAAGCTAAATGTGGTATAATTCATACAACGGATTATTATTCAGTGATAAAAAGGAACAAAGTACTTATACATGTAACAACATGAATAAACATTGACAACATTATGTTAAGTGAAAGAAGGCAGTCACAAAAGACTATGTTTCCACGTAAGAAACGTTCATAATAGGCAAATCCACAGAGATGGAAAGTAGATTAGTGGTTGCCTGGGGCTGGGGAGAAATACTAAGTGACTACTACTAATGAATTTCGTTTTAGGGTGATAGAAGTGTTCTAAAATTGATGGTGGTAATGGCTGCAAAACTTTGAATATACTAATATCCATTGAATTATACACTTTATTTATCTGTATTTATTTATTTTGAGATAGGGTCTTGCTCTGTTGCCCAGGCTGGAGTGCAGTGGTGCCATCACAGCTCACTGCAGCCTTGACCTCCCAAGCTCAAGCAATCCTCCCACCTCAGCCTCCTGAGTAGCTCGAAATACAGGTGTGCACCACCATACTGGCCTAATTTTTAAATTTTTTTGTAGAGATGAGGTCTCATTATGTTACCCAGGCTGGTCTCAAACTCCTGGACTCAAACTCAAGCAATCCTCCTGCCTTGGCTTCCCAAAGTGCTAGGATTACAGACATGAGCCACTGCTCCCAGACGAGTTGTACACTTTAAATGAACTGTATGGTATGTGAATTATATCTTAATAAAGCTGTCTTATATACATGAAATAGGCAGCACTATCAGCCTTATTCCCCAGTTTCAGCAGAGAATGCAAAAAGAGCTTACTGAGGTCTTGAAACAGACCAGCAAAACTTGTCAAAGAGCTCAAGATTCATCAAAAGGTGTTTTGAGATGAAACCAAGTCAGTGACCCCTGAAGATACAGAGGAAGATGCTCTGTCACATGAACTCAGCTTCAGCAACCTTCTTTCATAGTCTGGTGCTGAAAATGCACAAACCAAACACAAGCATGCAGACAGGCCCAATGCCCTGCCCCAAATAAGATTATTCTGTCCTTCACATACCAAAGAGATGAAGGAACAACCCTTAATATTTTCACCTGTTAAATACCTTTGCCAGAAGCCTGAGTTAATGAAAAGCATATTCATCTGTTCAGTTAGACCCATTTTGTTAAGTTTGAAAGTCAGAACAAAGTATGTACATTTAATACATGTTAATAAATAGTGATTTTGTAGTACCAAATTCTTGACTCTGAAATATTACTTGTTTTTTTTTTAAATCAGGGAATATTTGATAAGTTCTAGTTGGGTTTCTACTTAGTCAATACAGATGGTATAATGATGAAAGCCTACAATAAAATGGGTGTCCTCTGACTAATGGGAATAATGAGGTACAGAGAGGAGGCTGGTGCTGGATTAATACGTGGAGTAGATGGAAAGAATGGGATACTCAAAACCAGTCATACTGTGTAGTATCACAGACCTGCAACAACCTATAGCTGAAATCAGTATTAAGTAATGGTTTCCTGTGGCAAATGTAAATTTGGCATCTTGAAATTTTGTTTAACCCCAAGTAAGATGCTACCAATACTTCTCAAAACCTACCAGGAACTGGCATTCTGTCTACCAGTGTGAATTCTGAATACCTAAGTGATCTCTGTGAAGGGGAGTGGAGGATCTTTAACTAGACTACAGTGGGCCCAAAACACAGGGAAGAAAAGCTGTGACAGCTACAGGTCTACTCCATTAATGGGGCTACTGCCTTAGCATTTTGCCCACAGTGGCATACTCTTTTGAATATCCTCAGTGATTTGATGCATAGTAGATGCTCAATAAAAGACTGCTGAAATGAAAATTAAACACCTGCCTCCAAGGTTACCGTGAGCATTAAATATACTATCTGAAAAACACCTACAATAATTATATAATCTTCTAGAATGCAGTAAAGAATACATATGGTAACAAATATAATGTGTCACTCAATAAATGTCGCCAATGGCAAACAAGACAAAAATGAAAGAATTTATCCAGCAAGTATGATATTTATGAGTCTAGTTATTTCAATACATGACACGAGTTTAAAGAGAACTATCTACAAAAGAACAGGTTGATTAATAAAAGAAAGAGTCAAAGTAGATTATTTATGGAAAATATGGAGGGTAGGAGCTGCATCTTGTTTTGAGTATCTAGTGCCTATCTCACAGTACGTGACTGTTGAATGAAATGTTCTGGGCATTTCTTCGAAGCATGTGCAGTCCTTGAAGAATGGAAAAGATGTCCTCTTCCCTCAAAAATCAGAATTAAGGAATGCTGGGAGTGGAATGAGCCTTAGAGATAACCTAGTTTAGGGGTGACCAAACTACAGCTCATGGCCTATTTCTGTACTACTCTGTAACTAAAAATGTTTTTTTATTTTTATTTATTTATTTATTTTTGAGACAGAGTTTCGCTTTTGTCGCCCAGGCTGGAGTGCAATGGCACAATCTCGGCCACTGCATCCTCTGTCTCCTGGGTTCAACCGATTCTCCTGCCTCGGCCTCCCAAGTTACTGGAATTACAGGTGCCTGCCACCATGCCCAGCTAATTTTTGTATTTTTAGTAAAGATGGGGTTTCACCATGTTGGCCAGGCTGGTCTCCAACTACTGACCTCAGGTGATCCATCCACCTCAGCCTCCCAAAGTGCTCGAATTACAGGTGTGAGCCACTGTGCTGGGCCGTTTTTTAAAACATTTCTAAAGGGTTTGTAAACACATACACACAGTGTATACCCCAAAAAGCCTAATATATATATTACCCAGTCCTTTACAGAAAAAGTTTGCAGACCCTTAATGGAATCCAGTCTCCACACTTTGCACAAGAAAATGGTGAATTAACTTGTTCAACGTGAATTACTTATCAAAGTTAGAGTGGGAGACCTGGATTCAAAACGATTTTTTTGCTTTTTGTATGAACTGGGGTCAAAATTTTTTCAAAGTACACGTAAGAAATTTAGATAAGGCCGGGCGCGGTGGCTCAAGCCTGTAATCCCAGCACTTTGGGAGGCCAAGACGGGCGGATCACGAGGTCAGGAGATCGAGACCATCCTGGCTAACACGGTGAAACCCCGTCTCTACTAAAAAATACAAAAAACTAGCCGGGCGAGGTGGGGGGCGCCTGTAGTCCCAGCTACTTGGGAGGCTGAGGCAGGAGAATGGCGTAAACCTGGGAGGCAGAGCTTGCAGTGAGCTGAGATCCGGCCACTGCACTCCAGCCTGGGCGACAGAGCAAGACTCCTTCTCAAAAAAAAAAAGAAAGAAATTTAGATATATGAAGTTTGCATTAGCAATTCCATTTATTCTAAAAACGATTAAAGCATAAGTTTTTTCTTTTTTAAACGGTCCGTTAAAAAAGTACGGGCTTTGTAAGCAAGAAACAGAAATTCAAAAACCACCTAGTCCCACAATACTTTTTAATTGACTCTTAGAAAGTTATCTAACCTTTTTTGAGCCTCTACAAAACGAGGGTAATAGTACCTTTACGACAGGTTTAAAAAGATTGCGAGGATCCTATAACTGGCGTTCAAAAAACTGACTTTTCCTTTCCCTCCTAACCCGGGGTCATAGTGGCCACACTTTAGGCAATCAATTAGATTGGATGACGTGATACATCCACGTCAACTCGTTATCCCTAGGTGGAATGTTTCCCACTTAAGAGTCCAGTGGTCCCGGAAAGTAAAGAGATCGGAAGTCAGGTGGAGGGACAGAGTCGGATGGAGCAAAGAAGCCCGGCACACACCAACAGAGGGCATGAGATAGCGCGGGAAGAAGGAGGGTCCGAGGAGTCACATTCCAAACCCGGAAAGAGAAATTTGGAATTTAGATTTAGGGTAAAGAGAGATTAAATAGACCTAGGATACTGGGTTTCTACCCTGGGAGACGAATACGCTCAGGCTGGCTGGACAGGACGCCTTATGACAATACAGGGAACGCACGCCACTCCTTACCTGTTGCCTAAGTCCACGGCCACAGCTCGAGACCCTGCGCTACTCCATAGTGCACGCGCCTGCAACTGGGTGAGTGCCCGATCCCGCCCTGGCAGACGGAAGGGACCATCGCTCCGGGGCCGGAGCCGGAGGCACGAGCTGCAGTACCTGCAGGCAGCCATGACACCCGGCACGCGATCAACCCAGGCTGTGCCCTGATTGGCTCACTCCTCAGACCGTGGGGCGGAGCCTGATGCAGTTTCGTTTTCCGCGGTGCCTAAGGGACGCCGGGACAACGGAAACGTTGGCCACCTTCTACGAAGACTAGAGAGGATCAAACCTATCAGAAAGCGATTATGTTGTAAACGATCTTTGTTGTTATCTGCCAATGAAAGGCAATTAGATAAATAAGGTTTTTGTGTGTGTACTATCGTAATTTAAAGGAGAAGTCCTAGAATAATGTAAACGTGTAATATGCAGAGTAAATTTATATTTACTCTTATTACTAGAAGTCATAGAACAACACATTATTATTATTTGACTCTGTGAACTAAGAATTAGAATTTGTGTGGTGGGCCTTTGGAAAGAGCTCTCCCTCTCCCCTTCTCCGCCCTGGTTTTTATTTTATAAATTTCACATAGCAGATATGACACTGCAGCGATTTGTGTTAACCGATTTACAGCAAATTAATTCATTTTTCATCGACTTGTAATTTTAGAAATATTTATTGTCATTTCTGATTCATTTTCATTTCCATTGCTAATAATTAGAAATTTATATTCCTGTCCCTTTTGGTCGAACTCTTTTTTTTTTTTTTTTTTTTTTTTTTGAGACGGAGTCCTGCTCTGTGCCCCAGGCTGGAGTGCAACGGCGCGACCTCGGCTCACTGCAAGCTCCGCCCCCCGGGTTCATGCCATTCTCCTGCCTCAGCCTCCTGAATAGCTGGGACTACAGGTGCCCGCCATCACGCCCGGCTAATTTTTTTTGTATCTTTTAGTAGAGACGGGGTTTACACGGTGTTAGCCAGGATGGTCTCGATCTCCTGACCTCGTGATCCGCCCGCCTCGGCCTCCCAAAGTGCTGGGATTACAGGCTTGAGCCACCGCGCCCGGCCAGGTTCAACTCTTAAATGCAAAATGCCAGCTACTGTTTGAAGTAAATATTTTGTAAAATGAAAAAAAAAAAAAAAAGTTTTTGGGATTTGAACAATTTTTAGAGAGTGGGTAAATTTCTTCCATCCCATTAATCCGTTCCGTTAGAAATTCTTTATGTTGTTCCTTTAATGAACCAATGAGCATTTTCATATTATGATGTATATTTCTTGTATAAGGTCATAACCGCCTTCCCCCAAAGAAAACCAAGCAACAAAAACCCAACACTCATTCAAACACAGTTTTCAGAATTAAAAACGTTGGCTGGACGCGGTGGCTTGTAATCCCAGCACTTTGGGAGGCCTGTAATCCCAGCACTTTGGGAGGCCGAGGCAGGCGGATCACCTGAGGTCGGGAGTTCGAGACCAGCCTGACCAATATGGAGAAACCCCCGTCTCTACTAAAAATACCAAATTAGCCGGGCGGGGTGGTTCATGCCTGTAATCCCAGCTACTCGGAAGGCTGAGGCAGGGTAATCGCTTGAACCCGGGAGGCAGAGGTTGCAGTGAGCCGAGATCGCGCCATTTCTACAAGAGTGAAACTCCGTCTAAAAAAAAAAAAAGTCCTGGCGCGGTGGCCCACGCCTGTAATCCCAGCACGCTGGGAGGCCGAGGCAGATGGATCACGAGGTCAGGAGAACCAGTTCATCCTGGCCAACAGGCTGAAAACGCGTCTGTACTAAAAATACAAAAATTAGCTGGGTGTGGTGGCCCATGCTGTAATCCCAGCTACTCCGGAGGCTGAGGCACAATAATTGCTTGAATCCAGGAGGCGGAGGTTGCAGTGAGCCGAGATCACGCCACTGCACTCCAGAGCGAGACTCCATCTCAAAAAAAAAAAAAAGAAAGAAAGAAAAGAAAAATGTTGATCCATGATTTAAAAAAGAAAAAAGAATGATGAACTCTAAACAGATAAATGATTTGGTGGCAAAGCAGCTTTCTGACACCTTGCTTTCATGAGCTATTATTACTGATTTGGGATTTCCGTGCCAATAGAGGGATTACCATTAACCTTGTTTACAGATTTTTAGTGTTAAAGCAGTTTTTGCGTCTTCTCCCTTTTACTTTACCTTGAGTTGCCACATTTTCAAGACCAATCAATCTATTGAAATCTGTCATGAAGATAAATGTCTCAGAAAACCTACTTGCCACAGTTGAACATGACTTTTGATTTATAGAGTAAGAACACAAAATCATCTTTTGGTAATATACTTAAGTACTATGTAATCATTTTCATTTAGGCAGTATTGCCTAATAGTTTAGAGCATAGACTTGGAGTTAGTCCCAGCTGGTTCCGATCTTGTCTGTTAATTACCAGTTGTGTGACCCTAGCTCTCTGAGCCTCAGTTTCCCCATAAAAATGGATAGTAACATGAAACTAACAGGGTTTTTGTAAGGATTAAACATGTCAGATGATATATTTATAATAGTACCTAGCACATTGTCAACATCAATAAATGGTAAATTTAGCTATTATCCTGCCTTTTCCTTTTCTTTTAAGACGGAGTTTTGCTCTTGTTGCCCAGGCTAGAGTGCAGTGGCACAATCTCAGTTCACTGCAACCTCTGCCTCCAGGGTTCAAGTGATTCCCCTGCCGCAGGCCTCCTGAGTAGCTGGGATTACAGGCATCCACCACCATGCCTGGCTAATTTTTTGTATTTTTAGTAGAGATGGGGTTTCATCATGTTGGCCAGGTTGGTCTATAACTCCTGACCTCAGGTGATTCACCCGCCCTGGCCTCCCAAAGTGCAGGGATTACAGGCGTGAGCCACCGCACCCGGCCTTATCCAGCGTTTTGTTAATTCTTCCTCCAGTTTCCAGGTATTCTGAACATCTTTCTCTTCTTCAGAACTCCTTGAACTCCTTGAATCGGTTAGCTTTCATCCAGCCAGAAATAATGGAAAGCAGCATTTACCTATTAAGAATCCCCCACCCCCATTTCCTCACATAAACCTGATATAATTCAAATAGTAGTAATTGGATAGTAAACTCAAAAGCAAATGTAGGCACTAAAATCTTGTAGCAGAGCTTTGTTATGAAGATATAGATGATACAGAATACGTTTATATGTTTATATGAAGCATTTTTAGATTAGCGTAGAAACAAAAATATAAAACGTTTAAATTCTTGTAGTTGTTACTACTGAAGCTATAATCCATGAGGTTCAGTCTGAGATGTTATTCTGGAAGTAGAGTTATGTTTCCCTCAAGTATAGTTCAACAGCCAAAATATAATTTAAAAGGAATTTATTTACCTATGATTGTTGAAGGGCATTAAAAATGATCCAACTTAAATCCACTAGCAACTTCTCAGATCTCCTTTTCCCTTTTCTTCAAACTCCAATGAACCTGCATCAAAATAGTTAATATCACTACACGCTCTGAATAAGCAACTACAGTTAAATAAAACATCATTGCATTAAGTTGTGTTTAACTACTTTTTTTTTTTTTTGAAATGGAGTCTTGCTCTGTTGCCCAGGCTGGAGAGCAGTGATGTAATCTTGGCTCACTGCAACCTCCGCCTCCTGGGTTCAAGCAATTCTTCTGCCTCAGCCTCCCAAGTAGCTAGGACTACAGACGTGCACCATCACGCCCAGTTAATTTTTGTATTTTTAGTAGAGACGGGGTTTCACTATGTTGGCCAGGCTGGTCTCCAACTCCCGACCTCAGGTGATTTGCCTGCCTTGGCCTCACAAAGTGCTAGGATTACAGGCATGAGCCACAGAGCCCGGCCCTTTAACTACATTTTAATTTAGTTTGTAGTTTAGTTTAGACAGGGTATACATTTATATTGCTTTTATGACTGAAAGCTGTAACACTATGGAAGTTATATTTTGTTATATAGTAACATTATAATTAAAAGTATCAGCACACCCTGAAGTGTTCAGGAAAAAGTTTTTGTCTTGTAAGAATGTAGCCTACTCAACTCTAAGGAAGTCTGCTCTACACCGCTACCAGAAGGATCTTTCTCAAACGCAAATAGAATTGTGTCTCCATCCTGATTACATTTTTTTAGTGGCTTCCTAAGTCTTTAAGGATAGAATTTAAACTGCTTTGCATGGACTATAAACCTCTCCTTTCCTATTGGCCTCATCAACTTTTTCTTACTACCCTATTTCCTTCCCGCCCTCTTTTCACTTTATACTCCAAGTAAACTGAACTGCTTGTTCCCTTGCACCACTTTCTCTTGCCTCTGTGGCTTTGCAGGTATGATTCTCTGTGCTTGGCACACACTCCTCACATGTATCAATCAGACAAACTCAGTCTTCAGTACTATCCTCTTTACTTCCCTAGGCAGACTTATGGATACAATCTATGTCTGTCCTTCCACTTTATTAATTTATTTATGTAGTTATTAATTCATCTGTGGAAGTGAATGTGGGAATAGGTATTGCATAGTGGTTAAAAGTGCTGTCTCTGGCATCAGATTGCCTGGGTTTGCATCTTACCTCTTTCCCCTCCTAAACATGTGACTCTTGATAAGGTACTTACCCTTTCTATACCTCAGTTTCCTGTTTTATAAATGGGAATGATAGTAAATACCTACCTCCCAGGGTTGTCATGCAGACTTAATGCAGTCTTACTTTTATGAAACTAAGGATAGTCCCTAGCATATGGAAAGCATGATAAGGTGCTCTAATATTTATTGAATACTTATTTTATGCCAGGCACTGTGTTGGCTTGAGACCATAGAGATGTCAAGAGAGCCATAGGGCATAATCCTTGCTTTATGGAGCTTGCATTCTAACGAGAGACTGACAAAAAGAATCAAACATAAACAGATAAATTATTATGTGGTTAATACTAAGAAGGAAATAAACTAGGTAAAAAGAGAATACTGGGATGGAGAGAGGACAAACTTCAAAAACAGTGGCCAGGGAATGCACTCCTGAGGAGATATTTTAGCCAATCTGAAGGACGAGAAGAAGAAGAAGACACCTTCTGGAACATGGGGGCCAGGCAGGAGCAGTGACTTGTAGCGGGAGGGGCACCCCGAGTCAGGAGAGAATTTGGCTTCTCTGAGGATGTGGAAAAGCCAGTGTCACTAGAGAGTAGTAAGCAGGAGAGTAGTAAGCAGGTGGGTACGAAGTAGAAGAGGAAGGCAAAGCATAGCATGG